AGATTATTTTTGAAAGACAATTGACCTGTACTTATTTTCTATTTGTGCCAGACAAACACATTGGTATCATTAGAGACTTGCGAGTGAACAAATCAATATTTAATACCATAAGATTCCAATGTTATATGAACATTATGTCTGTCATTTCAATTCGTAAAAGTGATAGATCATCTAAGATGGTGAGTAAAAATGTGTAAAATCCATATTTTGTATTTCAGTAAATGTTTCATTCATGGTATTTCCAAACATCCTGATATCTAAAAAAAATGGTTAGAAGGTGAATAAAAGTGGAGATATGAATATTGTGTTCGTATTTTGAATCAATCTAGATTTATTGTAAAAGAGTTGCTGAAACATTAAAATCCAAAGTTGCTGTCAGTCCATTGTAGGCATGGTAAATGAAGAATAAAAAGTGTTTAGTCTCTATTTATTCTTGGAAATAGTATATCTATTATTTCTTGAAAATAATAGTTTCGTATAATTCTCAGGTGGTAGTTCTGCTTTACAAACTGTTATTATCAAAAAGCACTCTTGCAGTAAAATATGTAATCACAATAACAACAACAATATGACCACGTAAACATTGTATTAATATAGAAAACCGCATTGTATAAAGGTTTAACTACCGCATTTTTCAAAATCTACCGAAAAATACCGCATTTTGGCAAATCTTCCGCAAAAGTACCAGTTTTTCAAAAAATTACCGTAAAAACTACTGCAATTTTCAAAATCTACCGTAAAACTACCGTATTTTTTCGAAATCTTCCGCAAAAGTACCGGTTTTTCAAAAAAATACCGTAAAAAACGACCGCAATTTTCAAAATCTACCGTAAAACTACCGCATTTTTCAAAATTTTCCTCAAAACTACCAGTTTTTCAAAAAGCTTCCGTAAAAACTACCGCATTTTTTCAAACTCTACCGTAAAACTACCGCATTTTTATCAGAATCTTTCGCAAAACTACCGGTTTTTCAAAAAACTACCGTAAAAACTACCGCATTTTTTAAATCTACCGTAAAACTACCGCATTTTTTCTAAATCTTCCGCAAAACTACCGCTTTTTTCAAAATTCTACCGCAAACCTCTGAAACTTCAGTATTTTTTTAAAATCTACCGCAAAAACTACCGTATTTTTAAATCTATCGCAAAAACTACCGTTTTTTTTAAAATCTACCGCAAAAACTACCGTTTTTTCTAAAATCTACCGCAAAAACTACCGCAATTTTGTTGAAAAATACCGCAAAAACTACCGTATTTTGAAAAAATCTACCGCAAAAATACAGCAATTTAAAAAAAATCTACCGCAAAATTTTGGTCTTAGGTTGGCAGGTATGACTTATTTTGATATAATGTTCTCGGGTTGTAAACTGCTGATACGATTATCCCTTTAAAGTGATAGCTCAATTACAAATAAACCGCAACACTCAAAAGTTATCGGCTAATTAGACAATTAACTCTCTTTCTTGAACTCTTTCAAAGTAATTACTTGCTTTTTCACTCTAGCGGCTACACGTAAATTGTAAACAATTATGGATTTTGACAGCGGGATGATTATTTCACTCCTATTTCTCTCTCAATCCTCTACCACACCAAGTGATCTCTGACTGAACTAAATAGACAATGGAAATATTCATCCAAAGCAGATATAAATAACTATTTAATGGTCCGATATTTACGTTCAAAGCTTCCTTATATTTTCTACTATTTCTTCCGAACCTCAAATGTTCGAACTAAACAGTCAACAGAAAATGAATAAGAAATCGATGACAATCAATCAGCCCTAACTTTCCGATATAAAGTACAAACAAGAGAAATCAGGTTAATCATTCAATCGCCAATCAAATTCCCCGAGTAATCAACCTATTCTAATCATAAACTAATTGTAATTTCTCTCTTTCTATCTCTTAATCAAACCTCTGCCATCCAAGTGACCTATGTTCGAATCTAGATAGACTACAGAAATCCTATTCAAAGATACCAATTAAATTGAATTTCTCTTTTCTATTCCTTCCAAATCTTTACCGTTCAGACGGTCTATTATTTGAACTCAAATAGACTATAGAAATCTTATTGCAAGTTATTAATCAAAAACTATTGAATCAAATTTCTCTTTTCTATTCTTTCCAAACCTTACTGTTCGAACTTAATAGACTATAGAAATCTTACCCAAAGATTAATAAATTAAATCTCTCTTCTATTCTTTCCAAACCTTATTGTTTGAACTTAATAGACTATAGAAATCTTCTTCAAAGATATTCATTGAATTAAATATTATTAAATGTTGGCTGATTATGATTTTATATTTTAATTATCTCCTTGAAACTATGATCTGGCGATTTAATAATCAATTTGTACTTACAAACATTCTCATTGGTGTAGATGACATCTTAAATCTCCGTCAATGTCTTTTATTCGTATAGAATTGAAGTAATGTTTCACGCGTCTTGTAGTGTACCGCAAAAAGTTGCAAAAGACCGGAAAAATCGTTAAGCGTCCAAATGCTTTCTCGTATGCTGGGTGCCGGGCCGGTAGGTGTCAAAACTGTTACAACAAAGCAGGTACGAAGAGCATTTTATACTAAACGCTCAAAGACCGGTATTTTAAAAGATTCCACCTAGGAATGCATGATATTGCATTTCTAATAGATATTTGAAAGAAATTCCTACCAGGATTGCACAAGGTTACATATTTTAGAGGAATTTTAAAGGTTTTTAGGGTCCCAGTGAATGCCGGGTAAGCACATTCCTACCAGGAATCCAGGCTTCAAGGCAACATATGGATCCCCTCACTGCCCTGCTGTAATGCAGAAACGGGGAATCCCCGAAATTCCTGTGAGGTATTTTTCTAAATTCCACTACAATTTCTGCAACCGAAGGCATTCTCAAGGCTTAAACACTGATTCACAAGATATAATTTATGAGGAACTTTACACCACAGAGCCAGGAACCCACTATCACTATCAGCTGATTACCGGAGTGAAGTTTCATGATCAAGGTCTGCATTCACTAAAGCCAGGCAAAACAACAACAAAACAATTTACTACCCAGAAAAGTCCCCATTAACTCCCAATGCACTTAGATTATTCCACAAAATACAACAAGCAATTTATACTTTCCAAAACCACAGACCATTAAGGGATTTTAAAACCATACTGCATTTCCCTATTTTGCCCTTTATGCTTTAATAGATAGAGTGGGTCTCTACAACTATCTCTTTTCATTTATTTTATCTCAAGCCCTTTGCCTTTTGTTGTTTTTAGATATATAAAAGTGCATACAAAAAGAGTACATATAAAAGTTCATTTAGATGATCAAACCATTTTTTTATCACAGTTGCATTCTAATAAAACCAGTGAAGATTATTTCTTGCTCTTATGTTTGCTGAAAAGAAGGTTTGGTGCAAGATGCAGGTTATATAGAATTTATTTTGATTTTGGTGCACTTCAGAAAAGGTCATTGAGCCCTTTAATGTAAATACATGTAGCTTTTGAAGTGAGCATGTACTAGCTGTTAACAAGCACAGGTCAGTTTTCCAAATATTTGAAATCAAGATTAGGAAAATTGGTAAATATACTTGTTCAATCTTAGATATTATATTGAGGTAATAGTACATGCATTGGCATTCAATGATGTTGACACAGAGGCTTAGCTGGTATAAGTGGCAAGGTTCTCATATGTAAGAGCTATAAGCTGTGTCTCAAAGTGTAACTTGAAGTTTTCAGACATGTTTCTTGATGGACTGACATTGATTAATCCTATCTGTAAATTAATTAACTTTAATTTTAATGAATTATTAAAAATTTAATGAAATTGATAACAGATTTGAATTATACTGTACAAATTAACATCTAAAAATCTCATTTTAAAAATTGTTAACTACAGGTATTTCCTGTTTCAGTTTTGACCTTGAAGCCTGAAATCCAAACACTTCACCATATTAGACAAAAATGTACTTCTTTGCATGTAACTTCCTGCTTGTTGAATGTTTCCCTTTGTGCTCATCATTTCTACATTGATTCATTTTTATTTGTATAAGTTTATAATAACTGTGAAATTATCACTTGCATGTAAAATATTATCTTAAAGGTACATGTAAATAACTAATCTCAGTTTCCCTTCAAAAGAAAAAGTAATTAAATATACTCTATAGCATGATGGTAAATTAATGAAAACATAAGACTGTGAATCATCAATATATTTCATTTGTATCCTTGCAATATTATCATTGCAATATAAGTTTTGATTATGGAATTAAGGTATTTATTATTAATATTTATTCACTATGATAATTTATATTTGTGTTTTCTAAATAAGAATGGCAATAAATAGATAGAATAAATCATAGAATCAAAGTCTTTGTATACTCAAAGCTATACATGTATATAATTCTAATTAGAAGGTAATTTAACAAATATTTAAGTCATTCATCACACCAATATGAATTCCCCTTCCCCTAGCTCCAATTTTGGTGTCTTCTGTTATGTGTGACATTGTGTAATCATATCAAAGATACTTTTATTTTGGACAAACTTTCATGTCAATCTTTTTGAAAGAATAGTAAGTATTGTCTGGTGAGGCAATTTTGTTTGGCCAGTTGAACCATGATGCACACTCATCACTAACAGGGCAGTTAGGGCCAGCACTATATAAACCAAACAAATTTGAGTCATAACAATGTTTATACCACCAAGCCCCTTTGTATGTGACAGCACAATTGCTGCTGTTGCGTTTATCATTGTCATGATCCTTTGTGGTAAATGCCATACCATTGTGGTAAGTGCCTAGTGAGTCCCCTGCAGTTCCATTATATCCTCCAATTGTCAGTTTGTAGTTATCTTTTTCATCACTCACATCAAATATGGAGTATTCAGCATGACGTGTTTCACTCTGTGGAGGCCACATGGTAAGTTCAACTCTGAGTTTATAGTTCCCTTGAGTTACTAAACCATGAAGGTTGTCCAGGCCAATGAAATATTCTCCTCCTGGGCTACCAAATCCTGACTGATACTCAGTCCAGCCTCTGTAGAAATCAACACTCCCATCAAATCGCCTGGCCATGTAGACACATCCCCCACTGCAGTATACTCTGAATGCATTTTGTCCCTGCGGTTGGATTGTTCTAACACCAGTAAAGCTTGTGTTTTCACTGCAATCTCTATGAAATTGTGGAACTGAAAAAATCAGATATCAGGTCTGAATCACTCACTTTGAATAGGCCCACCTAAACTTCAATTTCTAAGTCATTCATCTGTTCAGAAACTATCCAGTTTTGAGACAGTATCACATTCACTTAGTTATATTTATGTTGCTTAGATTAAATAAACCTTCTCGGCTAAATAAAGCATATTGTTTTGGAGGATTTTTTTGGAAGCCAACGTTCTGATCAATAGAAAGTTACAGAACACAGGCCAGACATCCTATGCTTATAAATACCAATGAGGTATCACTCGCCAAAATAAGGTGGTAACCGAAAGGACCAGCCAAATGTTTCAATTAGGACATGTTCAATGAGAGATTATCAAAATGGGTGAAAGTCTTCACATGGACAGTGATTTTGACTATAGAGAGGTGTTCATATATATGCAGGCCTGTCAACTGTCCCGCATTTTGCGTATTTGTCACGCATTTGCTGAAGAATTTGAAGTCACGCCAGTTATTTTTGCGTGACAGAAAATGTCACGCAAATACGCATTTTACCAAGCAAAAATATTTCTGCAGAAAAATTTCTAAAAAAGATCGTCTACACAGCAAAAATACGAACGCCGGAAAAAAATGTACGCATTTCGTTCGGACTTTTCACGCGAATTACGTATATGTCACGCATTCCGTTCGAAATCTTTCGTACCTACCCCCCCCCCCCGTTGACGGATGTCTCAAATGGGAGCGTAGCGAGCGCGAAAAATTTGAGGTGTTCAAAATTTGCCAAGATGTAATAAAATTTAAACCAAGGTGTTCAAAATTTGGATCAAGGTGTTCAGATTTGGACCAAGGTGTCCACATTTTGAGGGGAGGTGTTCAACATTTCCAAGTCACTCATGTTAGGTGTTCCCAAGTTGACAGGCCTGTATATGTTATACTGTAATGTACCTTAATTGACATTTAAGTAAATGTTTATGTAAGCTCCACATATTTGGACTTTGCTTTAGCTTATAGAAAGAAGTGAAATACCCTTAGACAAAGGATGATTACCCTTACCCTGCATTGAATTCTTGAGCCCTTGTATTTCCTTTTTCAATTCATTCATAGTTTCCTTTATGTCAACCATCTCCTGTTTCAGTTCATCTGATAAACTGGTGATATCTCTCTTCTTACATAACATCTGCTCTCTCTTAGGACAGCTGTCTATTGTCTCAACAAATGCTGAAATATGCAAGAGTTGAGTCGTGAGTCAGTAAAAGGCAGTCATTTTTATTTCAGAGGTTTAGGTTTCATATATTTCATTTGGATGTGTGTGAAATCCAATGATTTGGATGTTTGATTGAAGTCTCTCAAATGCATTCCTGGGTATTTTTTCTTTTTGTATTATTACGTATTTCATACTGCCTAGCTGGTATTCACATACTCTACCTTTATATATAAATGTGGTTCAGGAGGGATTTTAATGAGACTTTGAAAGTGCATAATATTAGGTGAAAGACAGTAATACCTATATTGGCTCCAAAGATCATGTTTGATACCAATACAAGCTTCCAAGGACTTCCATTTGTTATCTGCATCGTGATCTGTTTTTTGAATGGTAAAGTCTATAAATATATTCCAAAATTATTATGACATATTCTTTTTACCAAAGTGATATTTATATTGTTCCTGCCAATTTGATTATACGTACGTTCATATATCTGTCATGCTAAATATGCAAGTTTGGTTTGCTTTGTCAGTGTTTTTGTAGTTATTAGGCTATACAGGATGAGCAAAAAAGGTAACCCAAACAAATGTTAATAACTCGTTTTACAGCATGGGTTTAATGGCAAAAGACCACGTGCAAAGTTTATTAGCACTATTTCCTATGGTCATGGTTTTATATAGCCATTCTACAAAACATGCTAACAGTGTTGTCTGGAGGCTTACTTTAACATATCAGGCATTTTTTCACGACATGAGCATTTACATCTTGTGTCGTGGCTCTCATCTTCTTTCTTATCTTGTGCGTCAATGTTTCAAGGGTTTTATGTATACACGTAAGCCCCAAAGATAAAAATCTGGTGGAATTTATGTCAGGTGACTGAGGCACATTTCAGCATTTTGAGCATGTTTTGTAAATGGCCATAAAATCCTGACAATTTGAAATATATCATTGAAACTAAGAAGAAGGAAAGAACATCAAACAGCTTAATTGTGCCAAATTTGATTTTAAAGCCATGCTGAATGACGGAGTTATTAACAAACATTAGGTTTGGTTACCTTTTCTTGGCTCACCCTGTATTATAATATCTCCCGCAATACAGTTCTCATTCCCATGTCTCTTTTACATACTTGCTAGCAATATCAGGGGTTTACTCAGTCAAAGTATATAATATAATTTTATAATGTATGTATGAACTTGATAAAATTGTTCATAAAGTTAAGTATGGAAATTCTAACAAGACTGCATGTATGTATGGATAAATTGGATGTCTCAGGAATATGCATATTTAATTTATCACTATTTGTCCCCCAAAATCCCCTCCCCAAAGAAATTATTCACACTCTAAGCCACTTAAAAGTCCTAATCAGGAGAAAAAAATATTTAAAGATTACATGTATAATCAATTCAAAAACAGAAACATTTATTCTGTATAAGTCCACATCTATGAAAAAAGTCCATTCCCTTTCTTGTGACGGAGTCAGAGTGATGTCATAAAAACCTCCTTGTGATGTTTTTGAGCTTGAAAACATTATTTTAAAACCCGCTATGGCTCAGTGGCAGAGCAAGGTTACCAATATCGCTTGGCCCTGGGTTCGATTCCCGGTTCAGACAAGTTTGTTTGTGCGTTATGTAATTCTGGGTGTTTGACTGAGTGGTTCACGACTTGTATAAAAGGCTGTGGTGTGTACCTGTATGTCTGTGTACTTGTGCACAAAAAATAACACAGGGCTCCTCCAAGGAGGGGTTTCTGGCTCTGTCTTTGAGTGTAAAATACGGAATATACCAATGAGGTATTGCTCGCCAAATATGTCGGTAACCAAGATATAATAATAAAAGTAATCTAAAGTAATGTGAAGCATTTCAGATTTAAATCAAAATTTATAAAACTCAAAAATATTGGTTACATATATAATTAAAGGTGTGTCGACCATTTAGAATGTGAAATATGAATCAAGTTCCAAATTAATATGAATTCTAAATGTATGAGTAATATATTTTTTTAGAATATTTTTCCTAAAAAAAGGATTTGATAAAAAATCTAAATTACCTTTCTTGTCTTCAGCTGAACAGAACAAACTCAAATAAAATGTTGAATAAAATTACATTGTATTGTTATTTCTAAATATCATCAGATAGCTAAATTTGAATAAGCACTTATAATTATCTTTTTTTTATTTAATCAACAGTCATGGTAATTTTCTGTATGTAAATATTCACACAATTCCCAATATGTTAAATGTATTTATTACATTGTGTTATAGCTGCACCTGTGATGACATTAGATATTTAAACAACCATTTGACATTATACTTTGCAAATTCAACAATAATTTAATTTTCCATAATTCTAGAATTAAGCTTATTAGAATATGATATCTGTATTTTCTAGAGTTGCTGGGAATTCTGCCTACATAATTGGCACCATTGCTGAGAGTGAGATAGGCTGTGTAAGAATTATGGGATTGTTAGCCTCCACACAACCTGAAGCTCACAAAATCCTATCAGATCTGACCAGAATGTTGACCTTTGATGATTCAGAGAGTGTGATGAATGCAGCGGGCACCATGGGAACACTGGTAATTAGTGCACTACAGTAAAACCTGTATACCTGAACACCTCTCTAATCCAAACACCTCTAGATGTGAACACTTCTTGAAGTCCCATTTATCATCTGCATGATAAATTACCATAAATGTGTTAAAACCTTGAAATATGAACACCTACTAATCTGAACTTTTTTGTCCAGTCCCTGTGGTGTTCCTGATGGACAAATTTTACTTTAGCTGTTTTCATGTCAAAAAATGTTTATCTGCCTTTCTGTTTAGCGAGAGTGCAATTTTAAATATATTGAAGTATTAAGACTTGTAAAAGCAAACATTTCTTTCAATGACAGACAATTTCTATTAAAACCTATTAAGTCCTAATTTTGATAATTTGTTTAACTTAATTGCTTTCAGGCGGAATCTCATGAAGGGAGGGAGTGGATGCTAGGGGAGAGTTGCCTTGATGATACAATAACACACATAACAGCACTGCTCAATAATGAAAACATGTGGACAGCTAGTAATGCTGCACTTGTCCTTGCGAGGTACTTGATTGTTTTTGAATTTATAATTGTAATAAAAAGTAATAATAAACATTTTGTATGTTAAGAACATTTCTGTATTTGTGTATGTTAACAAGAACAGTAACATGTAACAACACTTTTACATATCTGCAATCTGCATGGTCCTTTTCCCCAAAATGTTCTCATCCTCTGCTCATTCTCTTCTTTGACAGGTTGACAATAGCAGAGGAAGGCTGTAGTCGACTATTGGAACACAAAGACACATCTGTAATCCTCTCCAAGATCGTCATGTCCCTGGGGGTTGATGAGGCTGGTCGTGGAATGAATGCAGCATTTGCTATTGGTCGTATGTGTGACATGGAAGAAGGCAGAACCAGACTTCTGAAGATACCTGAGTCAGAGAGAATGGTAAGACAAACAACCACATACGAGACACACAAGGTTAAATCTATGGATTCAACACAAGCATTATGAAACATTTAAGGACAGTAACCAGTAAAATACCAAATCATAATGCAAAGTTAATGTTAAAAGTGGATCAAATATGTTAGTTATGCATAAACTAGTCCTAAGTAGACAAATCACAAATAACCTTCATTTCTAAAAAAAAGGTATGGTATTTGTTGGAATATGATGTAAACTTTACATCTTGCTCGTGCAGTCATTTTTATAGTTTACATCCATGTATTTCTTTACTTTCAGATCTCATCTCTAGCCAAGATGCTGTGCTGTAATGATACAGGAGCCAGTAAGAATGCTTGTTTTGCACTCAGTTGCTTAGCAACCAATAAAGATGGCCACGCCCGCTTGTTGAATAACGCACATTCTGAAGAAGTACTTCGCACCCTCGCTACATTACTGTGTGCAGAGGATGGAGAAACTGGCTGGTTCGCTGCAATGTAAGTTGTAAACTCATTGAACCTTTAACTGTTAAGAACTGTTCTGCCCAAGGTTTTTATTCTCTGTATAGGTAGCACTGCATTTTTCTAATTTGAACCATTGGCACCAATTTGATAAGTTGTTTTTGTAAGGGGTAAGAATAAAGTTTTGAATCTGCATAACTGAATTCTATATATGGTATCCATGGCAATTCATAGAGAGCATCTATTGTATGACAACTTCCATCAAAATTTAGTTAGTTGACATTTGAGTTTCCATTGAATACATTCCTGGGCACCAGTTTGATTTGACAGTTTTTTATCGCAAAATCAACATAATCAGATAAACATGTAGTGTATGTTGAAATACCACAAATGAATCTAGTGAAAACAAAGTTCAGAACTTAGTTTTTTTGAAGCTTACCTTAGGGTGGGTGGAATCACCATATTATGTGTTTGCAAACTGGCCAGATTTAATTGTAATTAATATTGAATGCACAATTGATGTTTTGCCTTTATTCCAGGACCCTGAGGACCCTAGCTAGCCAACCTGTAGGCTGCCTGAGACTGAGGGAACACAAGATTGTCATCCCAGCACTTCTGGTAAATGCAATTTTAAAGCATTGAGTTTGTTTAAATAGATGATCATGTGACACTTTGTCAGGGAAAAATGAAATATTACAGTAAACTAAATATCAGTACAAGTCTTTATGATAAAAGTTAATTATTTGTAATATTAATAAATCATATGTTTGTAATGTTTACTTTGACAAATCTGCTTCATGATGTACATATATTCGATATACCATAACAGGCCCGTAAGACACTTTTCTCCAAGGGGGGTGCGGTTTTTAGCTTACTAAAGAGAATATAAAATTGTCAATTTTTTTGCCGCAAAAAACAAAATAAATGAGTGTATACAGTGGGTTAAAAATCAATATTCATATGTTAAGTCAAAACGAATATTTTGGGAAATCTTAAAAAGCAAAATCAAAAGGACATCCATAGGGTATGCAATAACCAAATCAAGATTAAAACAAAATGTGATGTCATATGTTCAAAAGGAAATTGATGAATTATCTAATGCTATAGAAAAATGCTCAAATGCTGAAGTCAGAAAAAGCCTTGACATACTCAAATTAGAAAATGAATCAAAACTTAATAAGTTATATGATGATAAGATCAATGGATACTTTGTAAGGTCAAAAGCAAAATACATGGAAGAAGGTGAAAAAAGTACTAAATATTTTTTTTCCCTTGAAAAGACAAGGCAGAAACACAATGTAATCAGAAAAATAAAAACAAGCTCTGGGTATGCATATACTGATAAAGATATCTTAGAAGAATCTGCTAAATTTTATGAAAATTTGTATTCCAGTGATTTACTTGAAAAGGAACTTATAACTGATTTTTTAGATAATGTAAATATAGAACATGTACTTAATAACAATGAAAAACAAGAATGTGAAAATGATGTTACTGAAGAAGAATTATATGCCGCCGTACATAATCTTAAGAATAACAAAAGCCCTGGTAACGATGGTATTACACCTGAATTTTATAAAACTTTTTGGGAACAAATCAAAGATATTTTTATTGATGTAGCAATTGAAAGTTTTGAATATGGTGAGTTATCAGAATCTATGAAACAATCTATTTTGTCATTATTATTTAAAAAAGGGGAAAGAGAACTTTTTGAAAATTATCGTCCTATAAGTCTAGCTAATTATGACTATAAAATTTTGGCATATGTAATTGCAAACAGGATTCAAAAAGTTATTAAAAAATTAGTCAATGTAGATCAATCAGCATATATTAATGGTCGTTTTATTGGTACAAATGCAAGACTTTTACTAGATATTCTCGATTACACAAATTATAATAAAGTAAATGGTTTATTATTGTGTATTGATTTCAAAAAAGCATTTGATAGTTTGAATTGGGATTTTATGATGGAAATTTTGAAAAGACTAAATTTTGGTCCAAAATTCATAAAAATGATCAAGACTTTTTACAATGACCCAAAACTGGTAATAAAAAACAATGGACATCTTTCAAGAGAAATTAAACTACAAAAAGGCATACGGCAAGGTTGCCCAGCATCGGCTTTGATATTCAATCTATGTGTCGAATTTTTATCTAAAGCAATCTTACAAAATGAAAATATAAGTGGTATTGATATAAATGGAAATGTTCTGAAAATAATTCAGCATGCAGATGATACGACACTTATTATGAAAGATGAAAACTCTATTTCTCATGCATTGGAAACAATTAAACAATTTTCAAAGGTTTCAGGTTTAAAATTACATTTGGGGAAAACTACGGGAATTTTGTTAGGAAATCTTAAAAATCAGGAAAACAGTAAAATACATGGAGTACAATTTACAAACGACCCTATAAAATGTTTAGGAGTATACATAGGTCATAACGAGAAGCTTTGTGAAGAATTAAACTGGAAACCAAAAATAAAAGACATGGAAAAACTTTTTGAATCCTGGAAAAAAAGAAAATTGAGTTTATTTGGAAAAGTTCACATTATAAATTCACTAGCCATTTCAAAATTTATCTATAATTTTACAATTCTAGATGTTCCAGAATGGGTGAAAAAAGAATTAAGAAAAATGATCTTTGCATTTTTATGGAAAAGGGAATGTGTAAAAAGAGATGTTATAATTGGAAGAACTATAGATGGGGGTCTTAATTTAGTTGATATAGACACTAAAATTGCCAGTCTAAGATGTGCCTGGGTACCCAGATTGATAAATAGCACAAGTGCATGGAAAAGCATTCCTACATATTATATAAATCAAATGGGGTTTCAAGTTAAAGATTTTTTGAAAACAAACACTACTGATAATATCTTTAAAGAATCTTTGTTTTACAGGAACATTTTTATAGATTTTAACATGTGCAAAGATAAAAAGAAAATTAATAATAACAGCATTTTTAATGAAGTGCTTTGGCTTAACTTTAACTTTAAATGGAAAGATAAGGTCATTCTTTTTAAAAACTGGGTAAAAGTAGGCTTCATATATGTGAAAGATTTCTTTGATGAAAACGGAAATATTTTATCAGAACACTATGTATTTAACCGTCTTAAAGACAAAAAAAATTGGTTTTATGAATATTCAGTCATTCGAAATATAATGAGATGTATAACAAATACTGTTGATACACTGTATGCAAACTTTACAAATATACAATATAAATATAACATCCTTGCTAACAATAAGTACCATTATATAATTAACAAAAAGTCAAAGTTGTTTTATAATATTTTAATTAACAAGATAAGAAAACGAAATTATACTGAAGCTTTTTGGAGTAGGCAATTTAAAACACCTAGTGATTGTGAATTTTATAAAGATGTATATAATCAGAAGATTTTGAAAATGCCATGTAAATATTTAGCAGAACTGAATTTTAAAATTGTAAATAATTGTCTTCCTTGTGGTTATATTGTTAATAAATGGAACAGACAAGTTATTTCAAAATGTGTTCACTGTAATAAAAATCACACCATGGAACATATGCTGTATGAGTGCAAGAAATCTGTCGACATATGGAATACTATAGGAACCAGTTTAAATTTGAACATAAAATGGAAACATATTGTTTTAGGATTTAGTGAAAATAATAATGTAGCTGTAATAAAAAATTTAATCATAGCAATTACTGCAAAAACAATCCATTCCGAATGGTCAAAAAACTCTGAAGATGAACAATCACTTTTAAATTGTAATTTACAGTTAAAAGTGAAATCAAGTTTCATATTTTATAAAAGATTATTGGATCATATGTCAACAGGTATTTTTAATCATGCAATCGATAATATTATTTCAAAACTAAATACTTGATATGTTTTGTAAATATGTTTGTTTTATTTTTGTGAATAAATATTTTAATAAAAAAAAATTTTTGCCGCGTAAATCAAATCGCGTAAGACAGAGGGGGGGGGGTGTCAGTTACTCCCTATATTGGTTTTGAATTAACAAATGCAACTTCCAAACGTTCCAATTGTTTTGTGGGGGGTGTGAGGAGTGGTCCACTCCCCCTAGAAAATTTTACAGTTTTGAGATGCTATTTGATGCTTTCTGGGCACTTTCAAAGTGTAAGTTTCTTAGTAGTACGCCACCTAGTCTATATCCAATAGACTGAATTTCCTGAGAATTCAGTCTATTGATCATTATGTCCCTCCTGTGGGAAAAAACAGGAAATTTCAGGCACACAATTATCAATTTTAGGAAACTTCCCTTCCCAAAAATAAGCATTATAACAATTCAATTAAGTAGTAAGGTACAATTAAATGCTATGAAAAGTAACACAGCATATTGCCAAATGGAAATAAAGCTAGGGGAAGTAACAAGTATGCAAATTAATTTACCCAGTCGGCCATTTTGAATGGCACTTCCTATGTAAACAAATATTTTTCAATCCCAAATTTTAACATATGTGGGCTATAGTCTGAATATTTTCATTCCAAATTTCAAAAAAATTTCAGACTAGAGGATATAGTCCAGTACGCCATCAGCACAAAAATAAGAGTTGAGTGAATAAAAAACCGATCATTCAGGGGGGTCTGGGGGTTCTCCCCCATGAAAATTTTGAAATTTGCTTGTATTTGGAGCGAATTTGGAACCATCTGGTACGCCTGTGCGTTATGAGTCAATAAGAAAAATGTGAATTTTTTTTCAAATTCTTTTGGGGGTGTCAAAGAGGATGAGAGGGTGAAGTTGGGTGGGGTGCCAGTAGGGGAGCAAGGGTTTGTCCCCCAGAAACATTGACCATATCAAGGTGCTATTTGATGATGTCTGGGCACTTAAAAAATGTCTGAGACAATACATGAAATTCAGAATATTTATTTTGTTTTGTGGGGGATGTGAGGGGTAGCTAACTCTCCTAGAAAATTTTACAATTTAAAGATGATATTTGGTGCTTCTGGGCACTTTTAAAGGTATTAGTCAATAAAAACATTAAAAAACAATCACAATTTTTTTCAAATGTTGGGGGTGTCAAAGAGGGGGGAGAGGGGTGCCAGAGGGGGAGGTGGGGCTGGGGTGCCAGAGGGGGAGCAAGTGTTTGTCCCCCATATCAAAACTTACAATATCAAGGTGCTATTCCATTAGAAGTTTGGGCACTTTAAAAGTGTCTGTGCCTAAAAGCGCATATTTCCCAAGAAAATTTTACAATTTTAAGATGCTATTTGGTGCTTTCTTGGCACTTTCAAAATGTATGAGTCAATAAAAAAATTTGAAAAATCTCAATTTTTTTTTTGGGGGGGGGGTGTTAAGGGGGGGGGGGCGGCTGCCAGAGGGGGAGGTGGAGTGGGGATGCCAGAGGGCGAGTAAGTGTTAGTCTTCCAGAATCATTAACTTTATCAATGAGCTATTTGATGATGTCTGGGCAATTTAAAAGTGTCTGAGACAATACATAAAACAAATTCAGAAGTTTTCCATTGTTTTGTTTGGGGTGTGAGGGGTGGCCCACTCCCCCTAGAAAATTTTACAATTTTACGACGCTATTTGGTGCTTTCTGGGCATTTTCAAATTGTATGAGTCAATTTTTGAATTTGAGAAAATCACAATTTTTTTTTTGGGGGGGGGTCAAGAGGAGGGGGGGCGCCAGAGGTTGGGGGGTCAAGGGGGGCGCCAGAGGGGGGGGTTATGCAAGTGCAAGATGCAAGAGGGGGAGCAAGTCCCCCAGAAACACTAAATATATCAAGGAGCTATTTGATGATGTCTGGGCACTTTAAAAGTGTCTGAGACAAAACGCTAAAATAAATTTAGAACTTTTCCATTGTTTTGTGGGGGTGTGAGGGGTGGCCAATACCCCTAGAAATTTTACAATTTTAAGATGCTATTTGGTGCTTTCTGGGTACTTTCAAAGTGTATGAGTCAATGAAAAAAAATTACAAAAAAATATTTTTCAAAAAAAAAATTTCTCAAATTTATTTTGGGGGGTAACAAAGGGGGGTGCGGTCGCACCCATCGCACCCCCCCATCTGATGGCCCTGCATAAATACTTGAAAACACTAAGAAATGACTGAAACAGTCTAAAAACTTGTCTAAGTCCAGCTTAAATAGTATAGTATATTGAGAAAAGAATGATTCTGACACGTTACCCATAAACCTGCCACAATTAAGCATTCATTCTTAATCTCACACTTTTGTTGTTTCTAGGAAGTGGAGAAGCAGAGTGAAGTAAGCCCAGACCTATTGGAGGAGGTAGTTTCAACTTTAGAGATTCTCAAACGTCTCTCTAAACCACCTCCTCCCTCCGCTGAAGGTATAAATATTTTTGTGCAACTTCAAATATCAGGTTTATCCCAAGGAAATGGTACTCATGGCTGTTTTCAATAAAGCTATTTTATCCTTCTGAAGGGACCTAGTGGATATATATACATACATATTCCCCACAGGATAAACCCTATTTCCAATACTACAGATCATGTATTACTGGTGTACCTCATACTGGAACTAATAATGACACAAACTTAATGGAAAATGGAAAATTTATTTATGTTTCTCATAGTTTTATGAAAGCTTCATATGTCTTTCCTCAATTTGTTTTCAGTTCAAGGCCCTACACAAATAGAGCTGACCTGGGCTGAGGTGACAACCAAGAGTGGCTTTAATGTAAAGTACATCATCTATGATGGCAACAGGGCAGTGTACCAGGGCAAAGAGCTCAGTCATACATTCACAAATCTTGCCCCTTATACCACATTCAACTTCAGACTGAGGGCTTCAACAACAGGGGATGACAGCCCTTGTAGTGATCCTGTTACCGTGACAACAGAAGAATCAGGTGCAATTTTTAATCTGTTAAAGTTTTACACATACATGTATTGATTGCTTGAAATAAGTTTCAGGTGCGCTCTGACAAATTTACCCTTGTAACAGTTGTATAAAAGAAACACAGTTGATTTTTTCCAAAATGCAGTTAGTCTGATCATTTTAAGGTGATTATTTCTGAAAGACTATTATGAGATATACAATATTCATTATTGAATTTCATGAAACTTTAATTTCTTTTTAATTTTCAGTGCCTGAAGCACCCACAAACCTTAGGTTCTTAGGTAGCACAACTACACAGTTGAAGGTTGGCTGGGAACCCCCTGAGAACAGTAATGGGCAGTTGAAGAACTACTTTGTATACCAAGGTAAGACCTTTAAACTCCGTTGGTGAACAGTTACTACAGTACTTGATATTATTGCTTCTCGTTTACCATATTTTTGCATAAAGCCTTTGTGAACCCCCTCCCCTTCTCCCTAAACAAGTATGTTATTTCAGAGAAAGGGGCTAGCTCAAGATTCGAATTGTTTACAGTGAAAATGAACTTTTTCAGAATCTCAAAAAAATTGTCTTAACATTAGCCGTAACATGTTCAAAACACAAGATAATACCTAATATAATCTTAACAGTTACATATTTTACAGATGTTAAAGTTATAAATTGATTTTTGTTATTAAGGAAACAGTTGTGTAGACCATACTACTGAACTGAGTGCCATTATAAGTGGGCTGCACCCAAACACGACTTATGAAGTCCATGTAAGTACAGCACTGTTCATACTCTATTAAGAAAACATTTTTCTTCTGCAGAAAGAAGAACCATTTTGTGTTTCTTCCATTTTTCTTTAAAAATGTCAATTTCATATTGATTTCCTTAAAAATTTGACTAAGTTCAGAAAGACAATCTACTGATACCCCGAGCATCCACTTGGAAAGTCTATTTTCAATCTCTTGATAATAAAAACATCATAAAAATGGCATAAATATTCGACCAACTATGGTCATAATTGTGTTAAACAGACCTTTTGCATTTACCTGATATGAGGAAAAAAATTCTGAGGAGAACACATATACATATATATGTTGATATGGTCTATGTAAATATGTTTCCAGGTGTGTGCTTCTACTTCTAAAGGCAAGGGACCTAAAGCATCTATGAGTGGTTCAACCTCTGAGTTAGGTATGTACACAATTCTTTTAGCATCCTACATTTCTCATTGTGTTGGCCAGGTGTCAATAGACCTCATCTCAATTGTTTAAACCTTACCTTGATGCCTAATAGAAATACTTCGTGAATGATTCTGATGATTCCATGAATGTCTTTTTGTTAGCCATGCTGAAGGCTAAAATGTTTTAGGGTGCTACTTGTGTGATCAAAAAACTGAATTACTAGTCATCAAAAATGTTTTTTTGAAACAGTAAAACGTCATTTTCAATGAGCCTATGGATCAACACTATTACAACTTAACAAGCAACAAGAATTGATGTTCTTGTACTGTATGCCTTCTAATACATTAGGTGCCCATGCCCCAGCCAAACCAACGGTGCATGTGATTGGTAGAAATGAACTGAAGATAACATGGGATGCCCCAGAGGTGCCACTTGGACGAATATCTAAGTATGAGGTCACAATGAATGGGAAAGTAGTATATTCTGGAAATGCTTACAGTTTTTCTCCACACCGACTAACTCCTGATACTGAATATGTTGTAACAGTGAGTACATTAATTTATAAAAATATTATTACTCAGTTTTCATTTGTCTTGAGTCCATTAAGACCTCCAAACTTTTTAGGATTTTTTAGTATTATTGTTTATATTAAATTTTTGATGTTGTTCTTTAATCACACTTTGAAACTTGTTTTATTGTCATCATCTTAATGCTGATTGGTGGACGATATAAATTTTGTCATCAACATTCCAGGAAAACTGTCCATGCAACTCAAAATGTTTACAGATGTGAGATTTTGGGCATGATGGATAATTTATATGACATCCATTTTGCATTTTAAGTTGACATTTATCATATTTATCATTTGTTCATCTTTCCAGGTGGCTGCAATAACCAATGAAGGGCGTTGTGAAAGCAAACCTTCTAAGAAACGTACCGCAAAGGATGAGTGTAAGTAAAGATTTGTTAAATAGAAGAACAAACTTGGTATGATGTTTGTGTGAAGTGAATACTGTCAAATTCCTGAAACTTTGCTCATATAACCATTTTATGGGGGTCCCTGCTGGAAATTTACACCAATGGTCCATACTTCTACATTTGCTTCATTTTGGAGAATCTGGCTTTTATCAACATGTGAGGCATTGTGAATTAACTGAGTGATGCCATTTTTCTGAACTGTTTTCTTCCCTGATGTACTTCCATTCAACATTTCACCTTAAATTGCAGTTGATGAATCTACCAGGCCACCTCTGTATCCAGCTCCAACCACTGTTAGACATAACACTATCCATGTCGATGATGGGGTCAAAACAACAAAATCCAAGAAAAAGAAGTCGCATCCATTGACACCTGATGGCACAAAGCTTCATAATAACCATGTTCGATCAACAAGTGCAATATCAAAGGTTAGTTTTTCTTTCTAAATTATTTCATTCAATTTTCTTGATTTCAGTGACTTGATTTGTATTGTTTCATTGCCTTGTGACCCCCTACCCCGACACACCTTACCTCACCCCAACCTAGATCCTATGGATGTGAACAAAATAAAGAGAGGGGTCCAGAAATGAAGCATGACAATAACAATACATGTTTTCACAAAGAGCTAACCATCATTGTTCTGGGATAGATAAGCTAGAGTATGTCCTAACATTGACAATTGTTTAACAAAATATATTTCACATCTAACTCGATTTCTTAATACAGCATGTTAACTATATACTGCACTATGTTATTAATACCAAATCATTAATCCTCTGGGATAAATAACTTTTGTTCACATGTAATTTATTTGATTAAAGCGTCATAAGGTTAAATGTGGTTGTGAAATCCATAGATGTTTCTCAGCGGTATGTCTCTTTAATGGTTGGTGTCTTAAACTGCTTCAGTAAATGTTGTATGTACTGTACATCAATAGCATATAATGGTGTCTCAAACTGCTTCAGTAAAATGTTGTATGTACATCAATAGCGTTTAATGGTGTCTCAAACTGCTTCAGTGAATTGTTGTATGAACATCATTTGCTAATGTCAGAACATATGTCAGTAGGGGAAATTGGCATTGCAAACTTGTAAATATTCTTTTTGTGTCATTATGTATTGTGATATACTGTTGAAAAGTTTTTTATTATTCTTACTTATATAAGATTTATATATTTGTTCTTTTGTTTGTCAAATGTTGCTTTTGATGCTTTTTTATTGTAAGTAACTAATGTTGTCAAAATGTTTTTGTTTATTCTTTTTAGCTCACATGGTGAGCTTTTGCAATCGCTCACTTGTCCGTCTGTCTGTCTGTCTGTCCGTCCGGATGTCTGTCCGTCAACAATAGTGGCACGTTTTTAAACCTCTGTCGATAGGATTCCTGTTTTAAGTTATTTCTGTTCAACATCAATACAGAAAACTCCCCTATGACTCCTGGTTCAAAAGCTCGCCTATTTTCAAAATGGCCGTCACTTTTGTCTCGCGAAATTCACTTTTGACCCATTTCCTAGCTTTACAAATAATTTCAGGTGTCCTACACTGTAAAAATCCATGTCAATGTAAAGGGTAGATATATGTAATAATATTGTTACAAAAAATCAGCGAAAAATTATATCCATTTTTTTTATTTTCAGCCATTTTAGTTAACATTGATTTGTCTATCTGACTCGCGAAATCCACTTTCCGTCAATAACAGTGGCACGTTTTAAAACCTCTGTTAATAGGATTCATGTTTTAAGTTATTTCTGTTCAATATCAATACAGAAAACTCCCCTATGACTCCTGGTTCAAAAGCTCGCCTATTTTCAAAATGGCCGCCATTTTTGTCTCGCGAAATTCACTTTTGACCTATTTCCTAGCTTTAAAAATAATTTCAAGTGTCCTACATTTTAAAAATCCATGTCAATGTAAAGAGTAGATGTATGAAATAATTTTGTTACGAAAAATCAGCAAAAAATTATATCCATTTTTTTATTTTTAGCCATTTTAGTTAACATTGATTTGTCCATCTGTCTCGCAAAATCCACTTTTGGACCATTTGCCTTAAACCCCCTGTCGATAGGATTCCTGTTTTAAGTTAATTTTGTTCAACATCAATACAAAAAACTCTCCTATGACTCTTGGTCCAAAAGCTCGCCTATTTTCAAAATGGTCACCATTCTTGTTATTTTCGGCCATTGAATAGTTAACATTGATTTGTCCATCTGTCTCTCAGTCAGTCCAAAATAGTGGCAAGTTTTAAAATCTCTGTCTGTCAACACTTGGCTCTTTGATAGGACATTAATTTAAAGTAGCAGAGAGTAGAACATACAGCATGTAGATGAGGATTTTCTGTGATTTGTATAAAATAGACCTTTTAAAGGTTCAGTCTTGGTTGAGTTAAATAATAGTATTTCAGTAGTTGAATTTCCCTCACAGGGTAGTACAGACCCTTTATCTTTTACACAATAGCATGTGCTTGAATGCATGCATGACATTGTGTAGAATGTGCTTGAGAAAGTATAGCATGTGTTATTTACACTATTTATACAATTACATGAACCATGTCACAATATATTTATTACTTATTATGTTGGCTCAATCTCTGAGTTCACTTCATTTTTATCCTTTTACATTTATAGCAAAAATAATTGATAATTTTAACGTGTTCTTGATACATCATATAAAAATTTGTCCAATCCTGGTATCGTCACTCTGAGACATATGTTTTTAGAATATGCATTTTAAAATTAAAATCCTCCATAATTTAGTTATCTGAAATTATGTTCCCTCAACCCATTTTTCTTTAATTACGTGTGCTTTAACACAAAGGATTTTGTTGAAAAGTTTGGTCAGAGTTTTCCCTATATTAAACTGAAAGACATGTAAAACACATATGTATAAATTCTACTGATTTTTTGTTTTGAACAACTTTTATTTTCAAAAACTATGTTGTGTTCCCTTATTTTTCCTGTTCATGTAATCCTAACCATGAATCAATTTATAAATTATTTTTTTATTTTGTTTGAAAGTTTACATAGTGAAAACTCGATCTTCTAAGCTGAACACTTCATATTGTATAACCATAACAACTATCACACATTGTATCTATTGTGTCACTGTGTGTTCCTCACATATAATTATTGTATGTGTTATTACCATGGCAGCCACGGAGTGCCCCCGCCAGCATGCACAAAAAATCACGAAAGGTACGAGTATAGGTTCTCATGTATCAGTTGCATCCCCAATATACTAATTGCTTTCAGTCTTGTAAATAGGGACCATGTATATTATCTAGATAAACATTTGGCCAAAATTGTTCTAATTTATATTTTGCTTTGACAAACACGATATTGCACAAGTACATTTTTTCATATTAGCGTCCCTTACAAGTTTCACTTTTGATAGGTGGAGTCATTTTGTCATGTGCATGCCTTGTTTTGGATACTTTATAGAGTTGACATGCTCCCTAATTAACAAGATGTCTCACTTATCAGTTACATATTAGGTATACCACCAAAATGAGTATACAAGTAAGAGTGGGGATGTAATATTTTTTATCTTTTATCCTGTAATCATTACATTAATTGTTTCATGAGTATAGCCAAAAACTGCAACTTTAATTTGTGATAATATTTTTGATCATTTAACATGAAATAATTATTAGTAATGATTAATAAATACCTAGTTACCATAGAAATAATGAGCACATACAGTGTTAAGTTAGACCCATAGAAAATTGCACGCTTTGTGGGTTCAATGGGTAACTGTATTTGTGGTATTAATGAGTCAACATTTGAAAATGGTAGTGGATTCCTTTGTACATTTTCGCATTCCATGGCTCATTCATATTCACATTGTAGAAAACAAAATAATAGCACATTTTCTACACTTTCGATATCCTCCCCCAGTAAATAACTTCTCAATAATTTATATGTAGATATTGTGAATTTTTAAACTGGTGTGTGTTTTGTAAAATTGAACTAGTATTAACATATGTTCCACAACTCCAATGCAAGATGTAATTATGAATTAAAACAACTTCCCATTTGATATTAATGTAGGGTTCCAGGTGAATTTTTGAAGTTGGAAACTTGATATCAAATTAAAAGGGGTTTTAATTCAAAATGTACTGTATTGTTTGCAGATTTTCTACTAATATTTATTAACTACTGTTCCTGTGAGATGACCACTATAAATCCTTTATCATGGTAGTCCATGCCTACAGGGCGTGGCATTAAATTATACTGACCCACATTTTTACAATGGGTCAGTCACTTGGATTAATGTTTATTATGATATAGAAAACAATAAAAAATCAAAATTATTAGCTAATGTACTGTTATATTAAGTAAACTCTACTATGCTTTAAAACCTAATGGAGATGGTGATAATATGATTTTGCTACTGTTTCAGAACAAGGCAAAAGATGACACGAATACTCCCGTCCTTGAGTCTCTAGATCTGACCAGGCCACAGTCAGGTGAGTGACGTGTTTCCTTAATTCACATACAGGGATTAAAGAAATGTGTTGATATAAGACAAAAGTATATAATGATATAAGTCAAAATAATGTTGCATCAGTGTCAGTTTAAATTGATATCAATGTTAGTTTAATATAAATATCAGGAAAAATTAGAATTGTGACACTTGGAGTAACTTTAGCTGATTTTAGTGTTAGTTTAAGATGATATTAATGTCAGTTTAAAATTACATTCATGTCATTTTAAGATGACATCAGTTGTTATTTCATCATTATTCAAGTTGACATTTGAATCAACACAGTAACATTCACAGTATATTGAATACATATTAATTTTTGTTGCAGCCTCTAGCAGCGAAAGTGCCAATAGGAAGGAGGGCCTTACAACTGTGAAACAAGAAGATATAGAAAATTCATCAAAATCAACAAACAGTGGGGAAAAGCATTCAAAGCAGATGCACTCGCCCAATAAACTTAAGAGTGAGAGTACCAAGTTAACAGTTAATGTGCCTAAGGCTCAATATGATAATTCACACTCATCAAAATCAAAAGACATGTCACAGATGGCTCAGCGCCATCTTTTAAAGCCAACAAGTAGTAGTGAGGACACCGACCCTGAAGTTACGGTTGCCAAGAAAAAACATAAAAACAAAAACCGTGAGGGACTAAAATCACCAAAACATTTACACGAGCTTGACCCTCATAAACATATGAAAGCTAAAAATGACAAAATGGATGTTTTAACAAAAATGGCATCAAAATATTCAACTAAAAGTGAGAAAATAGATAAGACTGATAATCTCGTCAAGACAGAATCTCAAGAACAATCTAGTAAAGACTCCCTGCATAGACATAAAATTTCTAGTCCTGAGGAGGCTCCACCCCAATGGGGGATAGAACAGTCCACTGCTACCAAGCAGTTCTACTCCAATATGTCTAGGCATCATGGGAAATTACCTCCTGAGGGGGACACTCGTCCTGGCCTAACAGGATTTGAAATTGATCCATCGTGGCTTGCTCAGGCCCAAAAACACCAAGACCAGGAGCTTAACAGACAATTTAGTACAAGTATTAGCCTGACACAGACGGGAAAGGCATCTAGGAACTACCCCTCCACTCAACAAGGTTATGGTGACATTGACCTACCTGCTCCAAAAATACCACACAGGACTAACACATTTCTAGGTGCTCATAGGTTAGTAAATACTTGAGGTAACTGTTCTTAGTTTTAGGTTATGACATAATGGGGATCGAGTGCCTAGCTTTTATCTTAAATACACAAAAAATATAAATAACTTCTAACTTCTAATCATACCATAATTAGACTTGATACAGAAAGTATTTTAAGTGAGTATCACATGCTTACATAGGCAATGACTACTATCCAACAGAAATTTTATGAAATTATTTTTAAAAAATCAATATTACTAATTTGTATTCTGTATACTTCATATTAATTTTGAATACTCTTCAGGCCTATACTAAAGAGAAACCTTGAGAAACCCACGGTGAAGTCAGTGGCGCTATCTAACACAATGTCCACTCATCAATGGCAACCCGATTTCCCAACAAGCCAGGTCCAACACAGTGTTCCAGGAAAGGGATTTGTACCCATGCAATGCAGAACCCAACCACTAAATCTACCTGGCCATGTGGGCGCTAATCTGCGAAGGGGAAACACAAATCTTAATGTTCTTGAGCGGAGTAAGATTTTAGAGTTTATTTTGTGAATGAGATGTTTGTTTTAACATAATAGAAAGGGCAACCCTCAGATTTTGAAGTGTCAGCATATTTTGATCAGTTGATGCAATTTTAATGATTGACTTCAGGTAAGAAGTTTAGAATCAAAAACTCAAAAACAGTTTTTCAAGTTTGAAAATATTCATTTGATGATTGTTTAATCATTCATTGCCAAATATTAATTGTCATGACTTAATTGTTCAATTTTTTTTTAAAAAGTGACTTTTGAAACCAAAGCTGATGGATATTTAGTTTTCAAATATTTGAATTTCTTGCCATTCTAGGAGCGAAAGTTTGGATATTTTTAGGTCATCAAATACAGGAACCATTAAGAACACAGTCTTTTTTCTACAATTCAGATTCTCATGTGAGGCAGCTAGAAGCCCTTGCTAGAAGTCAAACCCAGATGGATCCCTTTGGAAACATAGGTGGCTCTCATGATCCAAACTCTGCTGGTGGGCCCTCTGGTGATGCCCACTTAGGTATGATGGGGGTGGGCCAGCGAGCTCCCCCTAAATTAGCAGTTGCTAGGGACCAGTAAGTTTCTACAAGTATTAATATTCTTGCTGAACCATCCATGAAATAATACAATTTTTTAGTTCAGTCTCAATTTCAAACTGAATGAAAAATGTGTAATATAACAAATAAGTGAAAGGATTGTATTTTTGCTACAAGAAAGACATAAAAGGAACATGTTCATCAAGTTGGGATTCACAATGTTCCCTTGGAAAAATAAACTGTACATGTAATTTATAAGGCAGTTCAGTAGTAATACAAACTAGATTGAAGTTGGAATTACAATGAAACCTGTAAAGTGGAACACCTCTAGAAGTGGAATACCTCTGTTAGTGGAACACTTTTCAAAGATCAACTGACTTATTGTTAAATGAACCTTTATAAGTGGAACAACTCCCAAGTTGAACACTTTAGAGGTTCTAAATGTGTTCCACTTAGACAGGTTTTATTGTACATTGTTTGGGATCACATTGTTTGTGACATGCCGTATATATACATGTTTGTTAAAATTATTTCAGGACCTCAAGGCCTCATGGTACTAAGTCCATATCTCCAAGAAGGCATTCCTCTCCCATGCATGGTGTCACCTGACATCATGAAGACATAACCAAGATGTCTTAACTCAAAAATAAAAAAGCACTGTGTCATATAAACTCTCAGCATTATTGTGGTGAAATGTTTGGAAGCACATTTCCATATTAGTGGCAAAGTTGGACTTTGATTGAACTTCAAACATGGACTTAAATTTATGATTTCCTCTCAGCCTCAGTCTCAACCGGAGTAGCAGTTTACAGTATAAAATCTGTCTATGTTAACAGCAAATGTGAAGGGCATTCACCTTAGACAGGTTTTAATGCACTTATATTTTCCTGTTCTGATTTGTTTTTACAATTATAATTTTCTTACATGTTATTGAGGTCAAAGTATATTCGTAATGATACAGTTTGAAATTGTTATACATGTACATGAATTACATTGTACCAACTTAACTGTAATACAAGTAATTAAATGTGATATGAAAGTGTTCCTATCCAGTTATACATTTAAAACCTGTAAAATAGAAAAGTGGTACTATAGTACATGTATTTCCAAGTTATCAAGGGTCATCTTCTTATACAGGTTACTTTTACAGTTCTAGGATGTAATAAAGACAAATAATAGTTTCGCTTTATATAATTATTATATTGATAAATTTTTATACAAAAAGTGTCAATATTTTATACAAGAAACTTATCTCTTTAGGCCCATTTTTGTAAACAGTATTTAGAAACAGGTTTTATACAATATTAGAATCTAGTTCATTATAGGGAAGGATTAAATCAGAGTAAACTTATTATAAATATGTTAGTGTTTGACTATTAAAGGCATTAAATACCATAGAATGGCAAATCACAGGTTTCTGGAAAGAATGAAATTAAATGTGGATTTTCAAGGTTGAGCAGTGCTCTTTTAGGATATATCTGAAATTATTTAATTTAAATAATAGGATCAATAGAGAGGCTTGTAAACCAAGCAATAACTTTGTAAGTCAGAAAAATAAGTGTGAATTATTTATTACATTTTGAATTACCAAGGTATGAACTTTTCATGATTGGAAATCAAACTGGTAAACTGGTATGTATTTATTATTCACTTCCTTTAAATATCATTCTACAGTTCCTTGTAAAGTGTGATATATGATATATTTTGTTATAAACTCAATCCACATAGTAGAATGGTAGATTACTATGTACTGTTTTGGTCTTGTAACAGTAGAATAATTTTACAAATAGTATTTTGCAAATGAGCAAAAACTGACAATGTACTTAATTATAGTTGAATCACCTTTTCTGTGCTTCAATTAAACTTAAAAAATAAGCAGTCAAAGGACCACAGTGTAATATTATTTCGAAAAGTACATTCCATTTTTCAATGCATTCTTCCATATAATATTGCACCATTGTCTGTTGATTGCTTTTTTTTTTAGGTTTGATTGATGCACAGAAAAAAGTAATTCATACTAATAAGTAGTGTTGTCGCGATGTGCCATAATCATACATCGATGCATCAGCAATTTTCAGTAGTAAACATCGATGCACATCGCGATGTTCATCGAGAAAAAGTCCGAGAAAAGTGCACTGAAATACCGAACGCCAATGCACTAAAATACCGAACAGAACAAATTAATAAGAGTACGCTGGTACATCCGGGAACCTCTAGTAACGGTGAAATGAAAGTAAAGTAATTTTTTTAGATTAATGGTTCATTAGCTCACATGGTGAGCTTTTGCAATCACTCACTTGTCCGTCTGTCTGTCTGTCCGTCTGTCTGTCTGTCCGTCAACAATAGTGGCACGTTTTAAAACCTCTGTCGATAGGATTCCTGTTTTAAGTTATTTCTGTTCAACATCAATACAGAAAACCCCCCTATGACTCCTGGTTCAAAAGCTCGCCTATTTTCAAAATGGCCGCCATTTTTGTCTCGCAAAATTCACTTTTAGCCCATTTCCTAGCTAACCTCTGTCGATAGGATTCCTGTTTTAAGTTATTTCTGTTCAACATCAATACAGAAAACCCCCCTATGACTCCTGTTTCAAAAGCTCGCCTATTTTCAAAATGGCTGTCACTTTTGTCTCGCGAAATTCACTTTTGGCTCATTTCCTAGCTTTACAAATAATTTCAGGTGTCCTACATTGTAAAAATCCATGTCAATGTAAAGATTAGATATATGAAATAATTTTGTTACAAAAAATCAGCGAAAAATTGTATCCATTTTTTATTTTCAGCCATTTTAGTTAACATTGATTTGTCTATCTGACAGTAAGACAGTAACTGGTATGATGCATATCAGTCAATAAGTAAAATACAAAATACAGAACGTTTTTTTGATAGCATGACAGAACATCCTTCGCTTGACTTTTATAAGACACTGAAGATTCACCCTAAGATTGAAAACTATTTTAAAAATGACAATGATTTTTATGGAGCCAAGCTGAAGTTCCTGGCCAGGACAAATAATTTTTGTTTAGAATCTAATTACGAAAGATGGAATAAAAGTGATGGGATTTGTAAGTTGGGTAATTGTAAATGTAAAGATGATATCACACATAGACTCCTAGAATGCCCCGCCTTTACTAAGGAGAGATCAGGATTTTATTTCGATATTGAGTCCAAATGTCCAAGAGAATTAAGCTCCATGTTTTTATCCTCAAATTTAAGGAGAAAACTTATTTGCATGTTAGGTGATGTAATCTTTGAGGACTGGGGGCAAGCTAATGGAATTGTCTTTGACAATTTAGTCAAGAGATTTCTAATTAAGATTTTTAAACCGAGAAGTGTATAAAGTTCTTGTATAAATGTTTTTAGTATGTATTATTGTTTTAAAATGTGACGCACCTATTTTAGTGTGCCGCCGTTTCTAAGGCGAATGTCAAATAAAATAAATAAAAAATAAATAAATAAATATCTGACGCGCGAAATCCACTTTCTGTCAATAACAGTGGCACGTTTTAAAACCTCTGTCGATAGGATTCCTGTTTTAAGTTATTTCTGTTCAACATGAATTCAGAAAACTCCCCTATGACTCCTGGTTCAAAATCTCGCCTATTTTCAAAATGGCCGCCATTTTTGTCTCGCGAAATTCACTTTTGACCCATTTCCTAGCTTTACAAATAATTTCAAGTGTCCTACATTGTAGAAATCCATTGCAAAGTAAAGAGTTGATGTATGAAATAATTATGTTACGAAAAATCAGCGAAAAATCATATCCATTTATTTATTTTCAGCCATTTTAGTTAACATTGATTTGTCCAACTGTCTCGCAAAATTCACTTTTGGACCATTTACCTTAAACCCTCTGTCGATAGGATTCCCATTTTAAGTTATTTTTGTTCAACATCAATACAAAAAACTCTCCTATGACTCTTGGTTCAAAAGCTCGGCTATTTTCAAAATGGCTGTCACTTTTGTCTCGCGAAATTCACTTTTGACCCATTTCCTAGCTTTACAAATAATTTCAGGTGTCCTACATTGTAAAAATCCATGTCAATGTAAAGGGTAGATATATGAAATAATTTTGTTACAAAAGATCAGCGAAAAATTGTATCCATTTTTTTATTTTCAGCCATTTTAGTTAACATTGATTTGTCTATCTGACTCGCGAAATCCACTTTCTGTGGCACGTTTTAAAACCTCTGTCGATAGGATTCCTGTTTTAAGTTATTTCTGTTCAACATCAATTCAGAAAACTCCCCTATGACTCCTGATTCAAAAGCTCGCCTATTTTCAAAATGGCCGCCATTTTTGTCTCGCGAAATTCACTTTTGACCCATTTCCTAGCTTTACAAATAATTTCAAGTGTCCTACATTGTAAAAATCCATGTCAATGTAAAGAGTAGATGTATGAAATAATTTTGTTACGAAAAATCAGCAAAAAATTATATCCATTTATTTATTTTCAGCCATTTTAGTTAACATTGATTTGTCCATCTGTCTCGCAAAATACACTTTTGGACCATTTCCTAGCTTTACAAATAATTTCAGCTGTCCTGCATTGTAAAAAGCCATGTCACTGTAAAAGGTAGTTGTATGAAATAATTTTGTTACAAAAAATCGGCAAAATATTATATCCGTTTTTTTTATTTTCAGCCATTTTAGTTAACATTGATTTGTCCATCTGTCTCGCGAAATCCTCTTTTGGACCATTTGCTTAAAACCTCTGTTGATAGGATTCCAGTTTCAAGTTATTTTTGTTCAACATCAATACAAAAAACTCCCCTATGACTCCTGGTTCAAAAGCTTGCCTGATTTCAAAATGGTCGCCATTTTTGTCTCGCGAAATTCAATTTTGGCCCATTTTTCCTAGCTTTACAAATAATTTCAGGTGTTTTGCATTGCAAAAAGCCATGTCACTGTAAAGAGTAGTTGTATGAAATAATTTTGTTACAAATTATTGGCAAAAAATTATATCCATTTTTTTTTCAGCCATTTTAATTGACTGAGAGACAGATGGCTTGAAATAATTTTATAACAAAAAATCAGCAAAAAATGTGACCATGTGAGCCCAGTACCCACGGTACTAATTCATTTCGACTAGCTAAAACAGTTTAAAAGCGAAATAATATCAGAAAACATTGGAAAATGAAATAAGACATGAGAAAGGTGAGCGATTTACGTCAAAATAAGACAAGAAAGGGTGATTTTTAGCAAATTAAATTTTTTTAAAAACATCGTTGTTTTGTTTCAGACATCGATGCATCGCCAGAATCAGCTTTGGCGATGTATATCGCGATGTATCGATTAATCGCGACAACACTATTAATAAGTAGTTACCCTGTTTACCATTTAATTTACATGCCCAACCAAGCAAATGAAATATACAGTGTTAATGATAAAGGGGTTGGTTGGGTCCTAAGAGCTTAAAACAAAACTAAATGCTCATTCTCATGCTCATTATCAGTCATCACTTATTACCACTTTTCATTTTTTACAAAAGAAACCATGACATAGTTGTAAAATCAAAGCATTATTTTGGGTGGTCTACCTAACGCAGTAATTGCCCGAAACATAAGGTACTGTTACTAAAAATTTCAGGGTATAAGAGTTTATATCTTTAATGTTAATTCTGTCAGAAAATTATAAGTGTAGGTAATTGTAAGTACTGCACTTTAAATTATAGTATTAGGGTTTAAGTATGATCTCATGTTGGGATATGTATCATTATATAATTGGGCAATCAGATTCACATCAAAATCAGAATTGTGTCTGATGTCATATAATTAAATATCATTCGCTGTATTTATATTTTTGTAAACGTAAGCAATTATGAACAGAAAAACACAGAATTTATGTTCTTGAAATTCTTTTTTTATATGAAATTGTTAACATTAACAATGATGAATTTTGTTTATAGCATTATTTTACACACTGTATATTTATAATTTGTTCAAGCCAGCAACTGCCTTTGTAGTTTAGTTCACAGTGATCTCACCAGCATATTGGCAACGGGGTGCTTCACTTTGTTGAACATCTGAAATTCACATGCCAACCTGTTGAGAATTTGTTTGCACCCTATCGAAGGGGTGAAATGTTGACAAAATTCCTAAGAAGATCACCAATACACTATAATTTTGGATTTGGCCTTACTATATACTTGTTTTTTCTAATCAGTTTTAGGTTTTATACACCAAATAATTGTATTTTCTATTCTAAAGATTGTTATTATTTGCTATTGAATTATTCTATGTAATAAATACATCTTTCTATCCATGTACAAATCAGAGTTTTGTATTGCTTTTGAAGGGATGGGATGAAAATTCCTCAAAATGTTTTCAATGGCTCTAATCAATCCCTTCAGGCACAATGGCTAGATCTTTTAGTGGGATGGTCCCCCATCCAGACCTACCAGTTGCTTAAAGAAGGCAGAGTATGACAGCATTTGGCCAAAATGAAAAAGTGAAGTTAATGATTATTGGGTATATTAAATTCTGGGGATTGTTCTTCTCTCTGTAGGGAAAACCTATGAACAAGGAATGCTTTTCAAAAGAACCAAATATTTTTCTAATGACTTACATGTTAATGGACCCTCTTTGTAGGGAAAACCTGTGAACAGGGAACAAGGAACACTATTTTGGGGCAAATTATGAAAATTCACCTGTGAACAAGGAATATGGAATATTGGTGACACTGTATATTCCATTATTTTTCAGAGGTGTGAAAGTCTTAGCCAATATCTGATTCTAAAAAGCTTTGATTAATATGAATGAGATTAAGATAAGCCAATTGTAGCCAAGATGTAGCATCCCACCTACTGTTAATTACCCTGATATATTTTAAAACTAATACCAATCTGTTTGTTACTTATTATCATGACACTAATTCTTCCTTTCAACAAACCTTTTTACAACAAATCAGTTGTGATAATCTAGGGAATGACACAATAACAGAAGTACATGTGTCATGTTGAGCCAAATCTATCAATAATTACATCAACTAGACATCATTAGACCCAGCAGTAGCAGCAGCTAAAATCAACATAGGGAGAACGTTCCTAAGCCAATGGAGGGAGGTGGGAGACCTTCATACATCTTCCAAGATTTCAAAATAAGGTCTAGTAACCAAGTATGGAGTCGGCATTGGTACGATCAATTAATGCCCATATATATATACATAATATGTATGCCAATATAAATATGCTTATTCGGCAAGTTTGAGTTTGCTGAAAGTGCGGCCCCTCTCTATAGGGAAAACCTATGAACAAGGAAACTTTCTTCCAGTCCCAAGAGCATTCCCTGTACGCAGGTTTTACTGTATTATGATATAAGATTCATTAGATAAGCCCAACATATTCTAGAATTGAGACAATTATTTGGAACATTTGCCATCTAGATTTGGCCTTTAACACATCAAACACATTCAACATGAACATAATCGTTACACTTTTATTATGTTTATTTACACTTAAAATATACATTTTATACAATTTATGATACACTGAATATGGATGAAAAACTAAAATTATGTAGAATTAAATTCTGTTTACATAAAACAGCTCAAAAGTACTCTCTGCTAAATATTCTCCCGTGTGGCAATTATATTAATTGTAAAATGTAACTTTTCTAACATTGACCATTCCTACAAAAATTCCAGCCATCTAGCATGGCAAAATTATTCCAAAATATTTAGTTAAGTATGACATATTCAGTAACACTATGAATGACATCAGAATGTAGTCATCAAAATGTATGGACACAGTTACTGGTTACTATATAAGATCTTAAAATGAGAAAAGACCCTTATAGTACATATAAGTATGCACAAAAGCTTGTTATAACTAATAAACGATTGTCTCAAAAGCTTTATAAAAATAATATGGTAAAACATTATATTCAAACTTTTAAGTTAAATTGAGAAATCCAAATACAGAACCTCTTACGTAGAATTTAGTGTGAAGCAGAGATTGCACCTAATAATATTGTGCCATTACATGTTTAACATTGTGACCTTATCTAAACAGATTTTTCATTAATACATCTACTACCTTAATCATTATTTTCAATATTTTAATTGTTCCAATAATCCAATCTAAAAATACAAAAAAATTGCAAAAATATAAAAACTGATGAAATCATAGAGAAATACATTTGGTACCATGCACCAATCTCTAATGAAATGTGCGTTTGAACAAACTTTTACAACAGTTAAGAACTGAATAGTTGTATAATAAGTTGAAGAATAAATGATTAAGTACACTATGAGTGAAACAGTGTGCTTAATCTTAGAATGTAGATCAAGTAGCAGTGATCTCCCCAGTATTAAAGAAAGTGCCAATGCACTCACCTCTGAAATACGCTATTAATTGCACCTAACTGAAAACCAATTTTCACCAACTTGAAAATCAGAAGTTCGATCAAAATTTTGAAAATGAGAATGTTGCATCCACTTTATGGAAAGAATCATGGGGAAGAACACTGTGAAGTAGACTAAATATAACAAGAGCGACACCTGATGATCTGTATGAGTAGACAACATCAATGATATCTATCTCCATTTGAGCTGTGCTTGTGTCTTTGTCTCTCCCTATCCAAGTCTCTTTCGTAAGAGTTTCCTCTGTGCTTAGAGGATCTTTCCCGAGATCTACTCCTATGGCGGTGCTTTTCGTGTCGGTCTCGTGACCTTGACCTCTTTGAATGTTTGTGCGATTTTGATCTCTCATGTGAACGGGATCGACGTTTACGATCTCGATCCCGACTTGAGGATCGCCTTCTGTCACGGTCATGTGACCGCCTTTGACGATCTCTTGAGCGAGATCTATGTCTGTCCCTGTAACTATGACGATCCTTATCACTGCTCCGTCTGTAGCCTGGTGAACGAGATTTTGGTCGGCGAACGGGTGATCTACGATCCTTACTGCGACTTCCGCCTCGACTGTTTGAGCTCCATTGATCTGGAGACCTGAAACAATGAATTAATATTAAGTGTAACATTTCATAACACATAATACTTTTGACATGATGATATGAAAAGAATAATATAAATATCAGAACAGATATATACTGCACACTTTCATTAGAAATGACTTCAGTTATGGTCTCGCAAATGATATAATACTTAAACAGTTAGGCTATACAAAATTACACCAACAGTTGGGGGGATCTCCCCATATGATCTCGGAAATGAACAATCATAGGAGGGTCTACTAGGTATCATTAGAAGTTATTCAATTCACAGTATTTTCAGCTTACTTCTAAATATATTGAGCCATTATTAACGAAGAAATTCTTATTCTAAGAACATAGGTTTATCGTTTATTGACAATATGGTCACATCAGTAACTTTAACCAGCTTTATCTTTCCTCTGAGTGGAGTAAGAGTCACAATTTGTTTGCTAAAACATGCCCATAAAAACATTACACTCATACCTGCTAGATCGTGGATTCCTGAGTTGTGAGACACGTGCGGCCTCTCCAAAGTATGGCTCCTTGTCGTCCCGGTGACTTGGAATGTGCTCCTCCATCTTGTTGGACTCTTGCTCCGCTTCTCCCCAATTCTGAGACATTGTAATATTTTAAGATTTATTTTTAGTCTGTGTAGGATTTAAGAAATGTTTCCCAAAAATGTTGAATTCAAAAAACATTTTAAATATTTCCTAGCAGAGAAAGGGATCATATGTAAATATGACTAATAGATCTAAAATATATTAAAATTTGACAAATTAAAAAAAATTGGCATGAATGGGAAAGAACTTTTGTGTAAGTAATTTAAATACAGGGTGAATCCCTCAAAAAATGTGTGTTTCTCCCTCTAATATACAACCTTGTATTTAACCCTCTTTCTCAATTTGAGATAATAGAGTTTATTCCTAGGAAAATACGTGTATCTCCCTTTGGATAAACCCTGTATAAAAACCCCTGTACATCCCTTGTGTACACTCATTGTATATACCTCCATTGGTCTCTGGGAAAGTTCTGCCATGATATTCTTCTGTACGGGAACTGGAAGTCTCGGGAATAAAGTAGAGTACCATTCCAGTTTGGTCAACCACTGACGTAACATCTCCCCTATCGTCATTGAATGACCTCCTCCTGCTTTAACATCAATCTCCTGTAACATACAAGAACATTGGAACGTGAGTGGGGAGTGTAAAAATGTTTATTTTGGGGACTGTTGACTCAGCCTGAGGGACTTGCTCTAGCCATGGGCGCTGTAAGAGAATATACCTATCTATGCCAAATAAGAACAAGAAATCTTTGCATGGTATTTCAATTTTTTTTCTTTACAAATGAATTTTCCATAAATTAGTAGAATTGCACTGGATTTTAATAACTTCACTTGCTTTCATCAGAAAGGTCTAGACTCCAGTTATGTTCATCTACTGTTCTTTGGGACAGAAAGTATAGAACTTCATACCATGGTTGCTTACCTTCAGTATCAGGTTGCATTGCTAATCTTCTAATTGTGAGAAGTTTGTTCTTTAGAATTATCAATTTCATTTAAATCATAACTAAACAGACTGATTGAATCAAATGAGAGCGTGAAATTCTTGTTTTTCATTTTTCACTTGAATGATGAGTTTTTTTTAAAAATTATGGTTAAATCTGAAATGAGACATGATATGCACTGTGATGAAGGTATCAAAATGAGTTACATTTACATACAAATGTATTGTTAAGAATATCTGAATCTATCTGTATTGTATAGAATCCATTTTGCCAATTTAACATTTTAGGATAAATTGAGAATCAATTGTTAAAGTTTAACCTCTCTTGAGGTCCGCCATTTCTTGATGATGTCATCAGGTCAGGTGACTGTCAGCTACGTGGCATAGAGCAATACCCTGCGGTGAAAATACAGTGAAAATAATGAAATTTATCATCCATTTTTTCTCATAAGATATACTACTAAACATTTTTTAAAACTTAACAGTTTTTATAGAAACCACTTTTACTGATTAAAACAAATACTGAACTAATTATATTCAAAACAAAATTACATTATACCAACTTCATATTGAGACATAGAATACATAGCTTAATTAATAAAATAGGTTTTACTCACCAATATTAAAATACAGCACGTTCAGCCCAGCAACACGTTATATATGATAAATGATATGTATTTTGATCGAATGGAACAATTTACATGTGTGAAGTGATGTATAAAGATATGAAACTAGAAAACATATGAAGACAAATGATTGAAAAGGATGTGGATGATCGGATAGCTAAATGTTTAAAAGGTTTCAGAAATTAATGCAAAAAATTAGAATCATTGAGACCTTGAAATGAGCAGATGATGTAGTGTGAAATCAAGTAATATGAAAATGAGGTTGCGATGAACTGACAGATGCATTATGGGCTGTGTGTGGTGTGACATACCTCTTCATCATCAAGATATTCCTCATACCAGGACCATAAATCTGCAGGGGGCTGAGTGTATCTAAAAAAAGAACATCACAATTAACAACATTTTATACCTTATTCCATAGAAATCATAGATCATTGCTGATATGCAAGCAATATGTTTTGAGTCCTGATGAAACAAACAAAAAATGTTGAGACCATCAGCTTTGGCGAGGAAATATTTCAGTCTCCTCATGACAGAATGTTCTTTTTATGCTTGTACCAGAATCTTATGAAAAATCTTATAAAATTGGGAAGCAGATCCACAGGAGCAAGAGCAACCCACACCAGTTGTCGTATTAATTGTGAAATTTATAAATAAATGGTAAAAAAAAGTAATATAATTGCAAATAAGTGGAAATTTTTCGCCTTTTTTGCAATTATAAGTACCAGTGAAAGGAAATTAGGGTGAATTATATAGAATTATCCCCTACAGGCAGAATCACATGAATCTAAAGTGGTATCGTCTAAGAAATAATTTCTAGTACCTGATGAACATGAATCCAATGCCTCTAATATATGGGGAATCTGAATGGTTAATCAGCCCTGTGAGTTGCTTCCTTGTCAGCTTCAGAGTGTAGAGTTTGTAGAGTAAACAGTATGCACTTGAGACTATTCCTCCAGCTCCTACGCCTCGAACTCCTCCACACATTCCTGTTTGGCCAGACGTCTTTCTGCTTCCTTTCTCCCATGGTTCCATATGGGACACCTGAATATCAATAAGACATAAGTAACGAAACAACTCACAATGTTAAAATAAGAAGTACCAAAATGTCTTTAAATGTCATGATTTGAAGTGTTTACAGCACAAGAAGTTTATAATGATAAATTTATTAATGATAAATACTCTACTGTGACTGACCTTATAATAGATTTCATCCACTACCTCATGGTATGTTTTCAGTTCAAACAAATTTACTTTGAAGTAGGGAGAGCTCTGTATGTTTGTCAGGATCATTGTGTTCATATTCATCGTCTTCTCATTGCCATGGAATGGCAGAACATTCCCTGGCGCCATGGTCAGTGTTCAACTCTAAAACATAAATAATATATATTCACCTTAATCATTCAAAAAATTAAGCTTCAGTTCTCAAGGCCATAGGAAGAACGGTCTTATCACAAAAATTAAAATTGTGCTATACACAGAGCCAAAAATGTGCCAAAGATAAGAGGAAAATTTGCTAAATTCAAATCCGACTTTTTGGTCTATACATGCAAGGAAAAATTGTTAAGACATAGGCCATGGCTCATTTGAAAGGTCTCTTTGTGCTTTTTAAGCTAAACGGAAAATCAGAATATTGAAAAGATCTGTGATAAGACCCCTTCTCCTGTGACCTGGGTCATATAGATTGACCAGCCAGAATTCCGTTTGTGATAAAGCATTCAACTAAATCCCATTCTTTAAGTGGTACTTTTGATTGAAACATTTCGCGGCTATTTAAATCAGCTTAGGTCATTAGCCTCTTGCAAATTTTTAAATGTAGATGAGGTGCTACCCGAAGCTGTGGCTTTATTTTGCTATGGTGTAGACTGTACTATCCTTCAATTTACCAATTCTGGGCGTTTAAGTACAGTGCTGTATTATTTTAGTTATTGTGCTGAGACAGAGCTGAAATGATCCTGATAGCAGGAATCACGGACATCAAGTAAGTTTCTGGCGAAAGCTGGAGCATAGATTATAAAGAGGACTGGAAACAAGATGGCAGTCTATTTCAATTCTGCCAATTTGGCCTATTTATCACTATTGACTCAGTTGTTCATCTAGTTTTACTTACCTTAGGTGCTTAGTAATCTATTTAGTATAATATTGTTTCCAAAATTATTGTCATTTGCGATAATTTGTACTAAAAGTACTTTGAACAGGTCAGCTGCTATTTGCTTGGCCCAATCCTAGCAGTCCACAAAAACAGTGAAATCATATTAAAAATACCAATAAAAATTTTAAATTGAGGCAGATGCGATACAAAGACTCTATTAATACAGATTTACAGGTTACAGTCACCAAGATGAGCTAATTTCAGGCGAGATTCTGGAAATAAAAAGGTAGGCCATTCTTGTTTCCGGTCCTCTTAAATAATCTATGCTCCAGCCAGAAACTTACTTGACGTCTGTGGTGGAAATATCAACATTTATGCCTATCTACAAAGTCAACACCCCCCCACTCTATTCTCCATTATACCCGATATAGTATATAAAATCAAGAGGGGAAGTGACTTACGAGCAATGGGCCTATCTTATAAAGTTTTCTTATTCTACATATAATTTTTATGAAATAAAAGATTCATCAATTTTGATCAAAAAAATGAAAAAAAGTGAAAAAATCATTTCGTCAAATTTCAACTAATTTACCACGGATAATCCCTAAAATTTCCTTTAAAATACTCCATACATAGGGAATATTATGTATACTTACTACAAATGCTTCAAATACGGACTTAAACAAGATATTTGATAAAAAGAATCGCTTTTTGTTCACGAATTTTAAACGAATTTCATAATCTCGATGATTCACGCTGGACGAGACAATCCGAGATTTGAATCTACGGCTTGCGGATTGGGCCATATGAAATAATTATGTACGATGGCTCATACGATTCATTTTCTTGGTAAACTATTATCAGTTATTTGGGCATTTGATATTAGTAAAGGTTAATACTGGTTCAAATTCGCTCAATAAAACTGCACATTCAGATAAGCTGACAAAGTGGTTATATTGCAGGTGCATGTACTGTAGTATGCATTATCATCCAAGGAAGGTGATGCAGGAGAGCGAGCGGTCAACCGCAGTCCTATAAATTGATGAAGTCAGATAATAGAATCGTACAAGAGCCTAAGGTAGCTGTTGATGCAAAGAAATTATGCACATCATGTACAGTTATCAAATTCCTTGACCACCATATGTGTCCTGGTAACAGATTGTACAATATTCGCACATAGCTACTGTAGGCATGTGGCATATCAAATTCCAGCCTATCAGAACATGGTGTTTGATTTTAAAATAATATGGATTCCATATTTGACAAGAGGGAATGGTTATTTTTAAATTCAATGTAATTAATAATCCTCATCAATCTCATACTTTCAAGACTTAGCAGGTCAAAATGTCAAAAAGCAAACCTTCATTTCATTATTTTTAGTGATGATGCTGAGCTGAAACTTTTGGAATGTGTGAAAACATTGGTATTGAAAGCCCATGGTGAAAATACTGCAATCAATGAACTGTGTGAGTGAATTAATGTACTCATGTTTTGCACTCTAGCTACAAGTCCTCATCCAAAGTCTTGATAAAGACATTTGTGTTTAAATTCATCCACACTTCATTGACCCAGGGGGTTAAATCTTTTACCCTATTGCACTGTTTGATTTTAATTATTTCTAAAAGGAGAGCATCGTCAACTTCTTAATTTAAAGATAATTAATCCTTTTTATATGTCCTTAGCAAATTGAAATACAGAGAATGATCAAAATCCAGCTACCCAAATGAAAATGGCATAAACAAAATTTTATGCTTCCATAGGTAATTGCCATTCATATAATAATGACATTTCCATTGAAGGCTGCCATATAGCCATATCCTTTTCTCACATCCAAAGCCAGGTACTAGGCCATGCCACTCAAAGTATAGAAAAATCCATTCACTGTGAAATTAATTTATATTTAATTTATTTAAATATACCTCTAAAATGAGAATGGACTTAATAATCAGCTAAATAATTTCTTCCAATAAAGATGTGGTGTTTCAAATTAATTATGTTTTCTTTCCATTTATTCTTTTAACTAAGTTACGGGGTAGTTTATCAAAAAATAAAAATCCAGATGCTCGTTCAATAGTATCCAATGGCACAAGGTAAGCATTAAGCTGTAAATTGTCTGGCAAGGGTTGGTTCGGCATTACAAAAGAAAGCAGTTCAATTTGTCCATTTTTGTCTTCACATGCAACTATCTTGTAGAAATGAGTTGGCACAGCTACATTGTTTTTTCCTATCACCTCATATTTCACATACAGCTTGCCATCATTTTCATACCTGAAAAAAATCATCATAGGCGAAAAAAAAAATCTCGCAAAAGAACAAATTTATAGAAGTTTGATGTGATGAAGAACGTTTAATGGTTCTACTGTAACAAAACCTAAAGAAAATCTTCAAGGTGTTTGATTGAGACAAAACACAATGAAAAACATCAAAGTGTTTGATTGAGATAAAACACAATGAAAACTTCAATGTGTTTGATTGAGACAAAACACAATGAAAACTCAATGTGTTTGATTGAGACAAAACACAATGAAAAATTATCAAAGTGTTTGATTAGGACAAAAAACAATGAAAAACTCCACGGTGTTTGATTGAGACAAAACACAATGAAAAACTCAAAAGTGTTTGATTGAGATAAAACACAATGAAAACTCCAAGGTGTTTGATTGAGACAAAACACAATGAAAAACTCAAAAGTGTTTGATTGAGATAAAACACAATGAAAACTCCAATGTGTTTGATTGAGATAAAATACAATGAAAAACTCAAAAGTGTTTGATTGAGACAAAACACAATGAAAAACTCAAAAGTGTTTGATTGAGACAAAACACAATGAAAACTCCAATGTGTTTGATTGAGATAAAACACAATGAAAACTCCAATGTGTTTGATTGAGATAAAACACAATGAAAACTACAAGGTGTTTGATTGAGACAAAACACAATGAAAAACTCAAAAGTGTTTGATTGAGACAAAACACAATGAAAACTCCAATGTGTATGATTGAGATAAAATACAATATAAGGCTTTGACATATTTGAGGTATATGATTTAGAAATTTCCTTTAACCACACTGTCTTCAAGCCTACATACCTTGGTAAGTACAATGGCCCAGTACAAACATAGACATTAACAAAATGCTTTGTTAAACTCCGTACATATTTTTCCAGCATTGCCCAAGCATCTCGGTTAAATCCTTTTCCAACCTGTAAAAAAATTATCCAAATTGACTGAAAATAATGGAAGGCTAACATGACAAGTAAATCAGACAATAGAATCATTAGAACTATAGTTTATAGTCCTGGAACTAGATTGCAGATAAATATTTTACATTATGACAGGATCATAGGTTTTAGGCTGATATAAAGATGGCAGCATGTATTAAAGATTGACTGCCTGCCATCTTTCTTTAAAAAGTATTTCTACTGTTCTATCACCCTCCCTTAGTCAATGCTCATAAACCACCCCAGAGTCTCGGGGGGTTCACTGTATATAAACCTTGACAGGGATCCTCAGCGCACATGGGGTACCTTTTTTGACATTTTGTATGGCAATGAACCCACATTTTAGGATCTGGTATGAGAATGCCCCCACATTATGACTTTTGAGGTATGGCAATGGTCAGATTTTTCCATTTTCTGGTATGAGAATGGACATGGATAATATGTTGTTGCACACTTGTGGTATGGCATTGTATATCTGCGCTCAATGTTTAATTGTTACCTGAGGTGCCATGTTACTAAGAACAAATGTCTGCTGCATTGCAGAATCTGAGTGTCTGTGATTGGCTGCTGCAGCAAGGTGACCACGGTCATATCCACTCTTTTTGTAATCACTGTTCTTTGCCCTATAGATATAAGTAAATACTGTATATTATTACAATATGAAAACAATAAAAACTCTTGGCAGTAGATAAAGAATACCATGCATGGCAATCTTCATTCAGAATCACAGATATCCATTTTAAGTAAACACAATCTGTCAATCAAACACAACTTTATCAATCATACGTGTAGCTTAGCTGTAGGCCTACCTAAAATATTCATGCACAGAGTCATCTTCGAAGAATTCACATTTATCTCTGCTAACATTGTCGTTATGTTTTGTATTGTCCCGATTCAAGTGTTCAAACACCCAATGGGCTGTCCTGTTCCTCCTGTCATAGGACAACACATAATCATCAAATGCTCGGATATTGTCCAATCCAGGAAACCCATATCGCATAATCTGTGACACCCTGTTAGATGGTACAGTTGGCTTATTAAGGTCACTGATGTCAGAGTTTTGAGCAATCAAGGAGTTACTATCAACAGGTGCACTTCTGGCCTCAATCAAGGGTAGGATGTAGCTTCCCTTACTTTTTTCTCCATGGATTGTATCAATTCCTAATTGCTTGTTTGGCAAGCCATACATTTTCTCATACTGGGCTCCAATAAAAGTTCCAGCCCCCATACTAATTGCCGAAATTAAAGGCCATGCTGCTTTTTTCATCATCCTCATAGCTGTATTTCGATAGTCTGCTACTTAATGTAATACACTGAATCGTTGTCACAGTTTTCAGGCCGCTCTATATGATGATAAACAGTAAAAACTGCAAATATTTCTCCTTTCAGAGAGGTCATTGAGTTTGTGATTCCCCACGACCCTCGTTTTCAACAAACAGGAAGTTTCCAAAAAGAATTGAAAATGGCATCAACGAGTCGGTGAGTTTTGTCCCTTTTATCGCGAATTCAATGAATAATATCGAGTTAAGTTGGAAAAAAATCAAAGTAAGATGACTATGAATATCTAAACATTAGTAACACAAGTTTTATGACAGTTGATCTCAGTTTGACTGTTCAAACTATGATGCAATGCTTGCAATTTTTTATATATTTTTAGCCCAATTTTCATTTTCAGGTCATTGTTTTACAGTAAAACCTAAAAAATAAAAAGATCATTGTGCAATAATATATGGAAAAATATATTCCTATTGTACATAAATGACATTTGTTTATCTTGGTTTGCTTTTAGTTTGGCTAATAAAGTGTGTGGCAAGTCTTATATTTTGATCTGCCAGTATTTTCAAAAAGATTTACATGGCTGAAATTCTTCAAATCACAAGAAAAACTTAATAATCTGAAATATACAAATGTCATCCATGTACAATATGAATATACTTTTCCATATATTATTTCACAATGGTCTCCTGATTTCTTATTTTTGGGGCTCTACTAAAGCAATAAAACAGTGGGCTGTAGATCCGTAGGTCCTCCCGCAATTGCTCGACCAATTTGTCGTGATATGAGCGTACCAATACTCAACCTGAATTATCAAAAATTTTAATCTTAGTGTTAGTTCATATCTCCATCCATATTGGTTGTTATATTTTTGTTTTTGAAGAGCAAAGTTTTGTTGTAGAATTTCTCCATTTTACCCCTGCCGACCAAGGGTTTATTCAAAATTTGGGCTTAATATGTGAACTGAATGAAACGAAATGACATCCAGGGATTAGTATTGCCATTATTACACTCGTAAAATAAATGGGTGGAGTTTTCTCAGACAATTTTGTGGTTATTTTACTCAATATCATTGCAATCCATTCATGTCATTAGGTAGATGTAAATAAGGGTTAATATGAACAGAATAAAAAGGGAGGGAAATGTAATTGAAGTGGCGATTGTGTTTTCAGCTATTCAGTGTCACCCTGTTTTGGAAATCCCCACAAGCACACACAGTCACAGATCCAGGATTTTGTGCTTGATGGGGCGCTAAATTCGCTAATATATCCCAAAAACGGTGCGAAAATTAATGTCGAGCATACGCTATGCTGAGGGGGGTTGCACTTTCTACTTTTTCAGTGATTACTTCAATTCCATCGAAGAACAACCTGAGAGAACTACCAAAATAAATGTGCACAGTCTTCATTTTAACTGTTGTTTCTGAACGTTTCATTACGAAAATTCACTATACTATAAAAAATATGTTACATTACCACATATTTAGGTCTGAGTCATCATGCTTGAGATTTGTGGTAATTTAAAATGCCATGTTTATTTCTACTTCAAGTGGTCCAGGAAGACCCAAGCCACTGGCTGCTATGGTAACATGTTCCTACCACCCAGAGGCAACTCTCATAGAAGATCACCATGCAGGGGACATGATCTGCTCAGAATGTGGACTAGTCGTTGGGGATAGGTAAATTGAAACAATTAAGTGGCTTTCTCTTATGAAGTCCAAACAGAAATAAAGCTATTGAAACCATAGAATAACCAAAATCAAGTTGCATGATTATCGATCATAATGTAATGTAAAGACCTGTTGGCCAAAGCATCTTCCATCTATGCTCTGCGAAAATGGCAAAATGTAGAGAAGTGGCTATTGGCTAATCTCATTCATAAATCATTTTCACGAGGTTATTGCAAATTCATGTACATATACTGTATGACCTGATTGGCCGGTTTCAGTCATGTGACTATCTCAGATGAGAGACTCCCAAATGGGGCATCTTAAATAGAAGTCTCCATTGTTGGTTTTATACAAATAAAGATATTATGATATTTGCAGCTCAATGTTTTCTGATTTCAGGGTAGTAGATGTTGGCTCAGAATGGCGAACATTTAGCAATGATAAAGACACTAAAGATGCATCTCGTGTTGGTGCAGCGGAGAATTCCCTTCTCTCAGGTGGAGATTTATCTACAATGATTGGTCCGAGTACGGGGCCTGCAAGTTTTGATGCTGACGGGAAACCTGTTTATAGAAATAGAAGAACAGTATGTTTTTGACCCGTTTTTATTATCAAATATTAAAAAACTAAACATTTAAGGGAACACATGTACATTGTACATGTACATGATTCTGCCTTTGGTTTAAATGAAGATTTTAATGCTTTAAACATATATAAAATGAGATGTTGTGTCGTGCATTGATTATGAATTTTTATTTTATTTCCAATAATTCTTGAATTAATATCTTGATTGTAAATTATTTTTAAACAACAGCTTGTTAATAATTTTACACAAGTGTTGATTTTGTATTACCTTATCGTATTGCCAAAACAACATTTATGCAATATTAAAAAATGAGTATTATTAACAAATCATTGTTTTAAAATAATAAAAGAATTGAATCAAAGTTGTCTCCTCCCGCTTGTTACCGTTACAATATTCCCGCAGTCAGCATTATTGATCGCCATTTGTCTGCTCTTTCAAATGATCTCATTCAGATAGCAAAAAGTCAATATTTAGAAATCAGAATAACAATTAAAAAACCGTTGATGTGTTTAACTTATGGCAAGAGATACACGACCATGAAATCTTACATGTTCATGCATTTTCTAACCTTCTATCATAGTGGCAAGTTTTAAATAAGTGATACATGATTTTAGTTAGAAAATACAAAAATGCCTTAAAGGGGCAACATTTCAAAAATATAATTCATTTTATGACTTTCAAGTTACATTTCATTACATTTGTATTTTACGATTACCCTTACATTACATTACATTTGTGTTTTATGATTACCCTTACATTACATTACATTTGTGTTTTATGATTACCCTTACATTTCATTACATTTGTATTTTACGATTACCCTTACATTACATTACATTTGTATTTTACGATTACCCTTACATTACATTACATTTGTGTTTTATGATTACCCTTACATTACATTACATTTGTATTTTACGATTACCCTTACATTACATTACATTTGTATTTTACGATTACCCTTACATTACATTACATTTGTGTTTTATGATTACCCTTACATTACATTACATTTGTGTTTTATGATTACCCTTACATTATATTACATTTGTATTTTACGATTACCCTTACATTACATTACATTTGTGTTTTATGATTACCCTTACATTACATTACATTTGTGTTTTATGATTACCCTTACATTTCATTACATTTGTATTTTACGATTACCCTTACATTACATTACATTTGTATTTTACGATTACCCTTACATTACATTACATTTGTGTTTTATGATTACCCTTACATTACATTACATTTGTATTTTACGATTACCCTTACATTACATTACATTTGTATTTTACGATTACCCTTACATTACATTACATTTGTGTTTTATGATTACCCTTACATTACATTACATTTGTGTTTTATGATTACCCTTACATTACATTACATTTGTATTTTACGATTACCCTTACATTACATTACATTTGTGTTTTATGATTACCCTTACATTACATTACATTTGTGTTTTATGATTACCCTTACATTACATTACATTTGTATTTTACGATTACCCTTACATTACATTACATTTGTATTTTACGATTACCCTTACATTACATTACATTTGTGTTTTATGATTACCCTTACCCACCCTTCTATTGTGCTTTTAGGTTTTCAGCAGATCATATTTGAATGTAAAACTGTAATAATATGGCATATTAATTGGGAATAAATATCATTCTGGTGTTGTTACTTTAGTTGAACAGTTCAGACAGAGCACTGTTAGCTGCCTTCAGAGAGATAAGTCAGATGGCAGACAGGTTGAACCTCCCCCACATGATAGTGGTAAGATTATTTCAAACCTCACTCATACGATAGTGGTAAGATTATTTTTAACCTCCCTCACATGATAGTGTCAAGATTATTTCAAACCACACTCATACGATAGTGGTGAGATTATTTTTAACCTCCCTCACATGATAGTGGTAAGATTATTTCAAACCTCACTCATACGATAGTGGTGAGATTATTTTTAACCTCCCTCACATTGTAGTGGTAAGATTATTTCAAACCTCCCTCACATGATAGTGGTGAGATTATTTCAAACCTCACTCATCCGATATTGGTGAGATTATTTTTAGCCTCACTCATGCTATTATGGTACAATGAATTTTATTATCTCTGGCATTTCATAGTGGACATGACATGGATGCTTAGTATGAGCAAAAAGAATTGTTACTCGTAATACTCATCTTCGCAATGTATCTTTAATATCGCCACGTTTCAAGTGTTCATATGCTGCCTGTACCATACTCTGTATTACATGAATCTTTGTGTTATTTTGTTAATTATATATTCTGCATCAGACATTAAATCATATTGTGACTTGACATCAACTTGATAATTTTAGGATCGTGCCAATACACTTTTCAAGCAGGTCCAAGATACAAAATCTCTAAAAGGTCGAAGTAATGACGCAATTGCCTCAGCATGCATGTACATTGCATGTAGGCAAGAGGGGGTACCAAGAACATTCAAAGGTTTGTATATTCATTGTGTTTACCATGTGTGTGTGTGTGTCTTGATGGAGCCATTGAAATATTACAAGGATGAAGTGTTCTAAGAACAATAGTACTGGAGGACAGTTGTGTACAGTTGTGAATATAAGACTTCAATTAGAATTGAGTTCTTAGTTACATGGAGGCACCAGTCACACAGAATATTATTTTTATTATTTATTTTTCAAAATAATTCTTTATTTTGTCTGTCTGTGCTTCCTAAGTTTATCCCCTTTATTTTGTTTTTCAGAAATATGTGCAGTATCAAAGATCTCTAAGAAGGAAATTGGTAGAGTCTTTAAGTTGATCTTAAAAACCCTGGAAACGAATGTTGATCTCATTACAACTGGTGATTTTATGGTGAGTTGATTTTGATACTAATTTCTAGTCATAATAGTATTTGGAGTAGGCCTAATAAAGAACATAATCTAATTCCTAGCTGCCATGGTTTTCACTCAATCTACAAAAAATCAGATGGGAAAAATGTTTTCATATTGATCACAAAGTTGATATTATACGCAAAAATATATAAATTGATGCATGTTCTTCAAGTTAGGAATACAGAGTGCCCCAAAGTAGCAAGACTGGTGCTACCACATTCATCTTACTTTTGAGAAATCCTGTATAATATTTTTCCTTTCTTAGAAGACTTCATTCTGTCTTGGACACAGTCAAGTAATCAAAAATATGTGATCACTTTTTTCTTTTCATTCTAAAAGAAACTTAGAAATCTCTTTAATACCTGAATCTTTTTATTTCCAGTCTCGATTCTGTTCCAATCTTGGACTGTCCAACAAGATCCAGCGCTGTGCCACCTACATTGCAAAGAAAGGAGTTGACCTTGACCTTGTGTCTGGGTATGTACATTTAGTAGTCAAGGTGATTAAGCGGCCATCCCATCTCCATCCTCAGAGAATGACTGGCAATTGTGCAGTTTAGCCTTGCATCAAGCCCTTACTATATATTTTCCCACCCTTAATAGCCTTGAGCCAACATTGCCTCTGACTCTGTTCATTGTTCAAACAAATAAATCAGAAAGGGTCTTCATGTTTTGTACACAGAGTCACAGATCTAGAGCTTTTGAAAAAACTTCCAAATATTTAACATATGTGTGTATGTGTGACGTGTCACAATCAAATCATACCTCCACCAAACTAATGTTTGCTTCTCTTGGTCCATGATATTACATGGCAAGCAGAAAAAGCATTTTTGTGTTGATGCGCTATAAATCTATGAGCAATGGATGATTTTAAAAGCATTTAATTTTTCTGGCTGGAAGTATGGCCTAAATACCCCATAATGTATTGATGCAACACAAACCTGTTATGAGTTGTTACAACATACAGGGTGTCAAATAAGTCCCGTCCCCCCCTCTACAGCCAAAACCAAGATATTTGGTACCAAGTGTGATATATCATTGAAAAGGTCTTCCAAAGTTACGTTGATTGGCACATATCTGACACATGTCAATCAATCTCACAATTTTTTACATTGTATCAATTGAGGTGACCATATGCCTAGAAACATGGCAATTTGGCTTATTTGGCAGGATTTTAAGAATCGGGTATAAGAAAGGTCAAGAGACCAAAAGATGACTAAATATGTTCATGACGATGAATTTAACCAATTTCTGGATAGGGTTAGATGTGTAGAAAATGGAGGTGCAAGGAAAGTGGTGAAAACCTTTTTGTAACAAGTGGAATGCGAAAATGGGTAACTTTTTGACGTATTTCTGAGGTTATATCCTTGTCATTTTGAAGCAAAAAAGCTACTTAAAGGAGGGCACGTTAACTGTAAAAGACATCATATAAATATAGGTAAATTTCATCCAAAATACTTGAGAGTTGGTGAGTTAACATAACTTTGGATGATCTTTCCAATGGTATATCTCACTAGGTACCATCTGTTATGGTTTTAGCTGTAGCAGGGGGGACGGGACTTATTTGACACCCTGTATTATTGTGTTTTTAATTATTCAGAAATTCTTTGATTTCATTTTCAGTCGTAGCCCGATATCCATAGCAGCTGCTGCCATCTATATGGCTTCACAGGCATCAAATGACAAGAAAGACCAAAAAGGTATTTTATTGCATCTATATATGAAGTTCAAAGTAGTACCTGAATTTTAGAGTTTTATAGATTCTTAAAATCTTTTTTATTAAAAGCAATGCTAGACAGTGACTCTCTTGATACATTTCATTCTTTGAGTAGCATTTCTCGAAAATGTTGGATCTATTTTATGGTCTCTTAAAATTGAAACAAAACTTTTGCAGGCTACTGGCTACCAATAATGCAACGTAATAACACTGTAGTTACTGCTTTGCTTTCATGTTTTTTGTTCTAATTTCTGAATTTCTGTTTTCATTACTTTTGTTTGGCTATGTTAATAAATGAAAGGTTTAGCACCCCTTACTTGTCCATTGCAAAATTTTTTGAGAAATTGTATTCTAATTAATCAGAAATATTGTGTAGGTTCATTACATTAAGATGACAATTAAGTGGAGGCGTACTTGTTTTGCTTGAAAATATTGATTTTGAGAAGGGGGAAACTTTAAATCAAAAAATAAATATTCTATTACATTTTTTTGGGCAAAGGAAAGGGTGTGATTTGTTTTTGAGAGAATTATATGAATTACAACTTCTTTGAAAATGGTTTGCATTTAATATATAAATATTTTTGAATAAGTAAGTCAGACTAACAAATAATTAATGCCCTATTTTCTTTCTTACTTATAGTAATTATACTTATTTTATTTCTTACTTCACATGAGTGAAACACAATTTCAATGTACTTGTTAATATCTTGACAATGTACTTATTTTTCATATGTTCTTTATAACTTCATTCATACGACTTTCAAATCAGTTAAGCTCTTTCAAATTAATTGTCTGATTAAAGTTGTTTGTCTGATTATCCTCCAAGGTCAATTCTTTATTTGCCTTTTTAGGATTTTAGAGTTATTCCTTCATTTCATGGAGAACTTTGCAAAATAGAAAAGTAAAGAGTGAAGGCAGACAATTAATCTGTAAGGGCCTTTGATCCACATTTTCTCATAGAATTGTTGTCTTTGTATTCAGAGATTGGAGACATAGCTGGAGTAGCAGAAGGGACAATTAGACAGTCCTACAAACTGTTGTATCCAAGGAGAGCTGATCTTTTCCCTGATGACTTTGTCTTTGCTGTCAGGCCAGAGAACCTTCCTACTAACTGATGAAACTATGCATCTTACAATGTTGATATGACGAGTGCTTACATATATGGAAAGATAGTTATGGATGTATACATGTGGATGGTGGATAGATTATGTTGGATGTTTAATGGACAGATAGCGATGAGTGTTCACATATGTGGACGAGTGCTTACATATATAATTGTGATGGGAATTTACATATGTGGACAGATTATGTTGGATGTTTAATGGACAGATAACGATGAGTGTTCATATATGTGGACAGTAATGAGTGCTATTTATTTATTTGGATTGCTTTATTTATAACATCGCACTCTGATACAGATACAATATTTGGTGTATCCAGAAATATATGGGCAGATAATGATGGGTGTTCAAATATGAAGACCGACTGTGTCATGAATATGACTGTGTTCTCATCCTGTCTTCTAAATAATAAGAACACTCATAGACATGGAGTCAATGTACATAGCTACATGTATAGACACTTGTTGGAACATGGTGATTTGAACACTTGGGTGAACTAGAGACATGGGGACATCAGTATTTTGTTCTCATGGTGAGTCGATGGATTCTTTGACTTATCCTTTGGTCCATACACAATTTCCGGAAAATAAAAACGACTATTTGGCTAAACCTATGCTCATATGTACTCATTTTGTGGGATCCATGATTCATGGTCCCTATTTCTACATTTGCCTTCAGCTTTTTCACCATGTGAACCCACAGAATGGTACCATTTTTCAAACTTATGTGCATTTATATTACCATGTCCTATATTCAGTATGGTGTATGGAACACCCTTTTTAGTTCTAATGAATTTAAACATTTCTGCAACTCTAATTTTTCATAACTGCTATAACTGATCAGATATTACAATTTTTGTTTTAAGAAATACAATTTTGACTTTTCTGTAAAATTTTTGAAAGGCAGTTGCCTCATCTTTTTCATTATTATAATGTTGTATCATACATGTAGTTATATATTTTATATTTAAGCAATAAATATATGTTGTACATACATAAATGTAAAAATAAATAAACAATATATAATTATTAATTTGGCTGTTGGTTTGAGAAACAATTCTTAAAGGTCTCATGTGCAGAAAGAGCTTATTGTAAAAAATAGTTTTCGGGTTAACTTGTATATACAATCTATACTTTACACTCTGTTAGACATGTATCATTGTATCCTAAGTATATAATCCGTATTGTGTCTGTCACTACATTTTCCAATTATGTTTGCGAGCTCAGGGAGGGAATTGCTCTGGGATATGCATCACTTGGACAGACCTTGTAAACCATAAATCCACCAGTTAAACATAACTCTTTGAAATGATAATCTATCGGTATTATAAACATAAGAATCCCAATTGAATTTTTCTCTTCAGGTTCCATATTCCATAAGCAATTGAGCAAAGGGACCTTTAACCTACTTTTAATTCTTTGTGCATCAAAGTTTACATTTGATTATTGAATATTCATCTCTGGCCTAGGATTCATCAATATAGTTCGCATAGTTTGGCAGGTTTCTGAATTCTGAATATATTGATCTAGTAGCAGATATGTGTGAGCATGGCCTTTTGTTATGTAAATAATAATTTGGGCCATCGTACATACACCATGTGAAGACTACTATGTGAACAAACTCCATCTGAATAATAATATTTCGATGAAATCATGCCGTTTTATATTTATCATTATGAAATCATTTTGAAATGCTCAGTATCCATAGATAACATATATGAATACAGTTGTCCATAATTTTACGTTCTAATACAAGTTCAATGTATCGTATTGAAATTAATACAATTTTACATTAACTTGTGAGTGCGTACACATTACGATTTCAAACAAAGATGGCGAGTTTTGATTCGCCAGATTCTCCAACATATTCGCTGAAAAGCAGCAGTTCGTTGCACCGTATGCTTACATCTATTATCCAGGAGAAAGCTAGACAAAACCACCCATCTACCACTCCAGACGGTGAGTACAAAAAGAATACCATTCAAAAGAAATAAGTACTTCCAAGTAAATTTGGTCAAAATAGATGATTTTGACAATGAATGACGATCACTGATCATTTACATATGAGTCATTGGCATTGTTGACACATATCTCTTCTCTGTATTCATTGTTTGTGGTTCTTTACTTTGAGATCAGTTTGGATCATATGACTGATCATATGTTCACACCGAAACTGCACTGCATGATTGAGGAGAATTTCCAAAAACAGTTCGTCCAGTGTGTACCTTCCTAGCTCTCTGTAGACCCTTGATTCATTTGCACCTGGGATCTGGAGATTTCCCAGAAATGATACCATGGGCATAGCACTATATAATGGGTAGTACGCCGCCACGAGTTGAGCAAAGGGAAAACTAGTGTTCGGTATTTTAGTGCATTAGCGTTCGGTATTTCAGTGCACTCTTCTCAGACTTTTTCTCGATGTACACAAGGGCTTATTTAATACCTGGGGCTTAGTTATGTACCAAACCAAAAGAGAAACGACACGACATCCAAGCTTTGTTTGGTCTTCATTAGACAATAGTATCATGTTTATTGTTAATTGGCTAATTCAAATCGGATGCGATAAAAAACCGAACGCCAATTTGCGAACAATCCGGGTATTACGTTCGCCCTTGATGTACATCGCGATGTGCATCGATATTTACTACTGAAAATTGCTGATGCATCGATGTACGATTATGGCACATCGCGACAACACTACTACTTAGTCTACTTCAGATACCCGATCATTTTCAGATCTGTGTTTAGAACGGTAGATTTGCAATTTCATGTTGCTGGCAATGGGAATAATTATACCCATGTTCTTTGAATACTTTGCTGGCAATTTTGATTTCGATGCTGCTTTCTGAAGAAAATGATGTATGTCATACATGTTTAGCTTCAAATATCTTACGAAACGAGCATGTTTGAAATATGTATCATAGAAAACCAGCTGTATAACTATCAATGGCATAGCACACGATGATGTATAGTCTAAGTAACGGACTAAGTAAACACTGTGACCGAACGATTGTTTTATGTGAGAAAACTACATGCATTTTGTATAGGTCAATCTATACGTCCAGGTTTCCCGTTCGATTTTATGTGCATTGCTTAAAGTCTCAATTCTCTCCTTATCATAACTTCTACAAATTGGAGTCAAGGCAATTCATTTTACATATCTTTGATATTGTGCATACTCTCTAAAGTCAAAACTATTGAGTCCGATGCATCGGAAATAGGACAGCCCCAGCAAGCATAATGAAAAATACTGGCCATCAATATGTAAAAAAGACAATATTGTAAAGTGAAAACTTGAAATCGTACATCAGATGCTGTATTTAAAGCATAATGATAAATGTAACTAAATTGCTCTTAACCATAGTATTAATTTGAGTGATTTAGAGGTAAAGTCCTACATTTACACACTATATAGGGGTTGACACACATCCTTATATCTTAATCTTTATCATCTCAATGCCATTGTCTCCTTAAAGATTCATGATTGCTTATCGATTGGTAATGTTTTGGCATCAAAGTGCCGAAATCTATAAATTCTCCCAAAAAATATAATTTTTAAAGAAAAGGTGAAAATGATAAATAATATATCTTGCACTCAATTTTAGATGGAGGATTTATAATGATTGCTAAAGATACATTCTGGACAGATCTGTTCCAAGAAAATTTCATAGATGGAGGTCGGGATGAATGTCGCGATGACATGTTGTTCTATGTACGAAAGACACACACTACGACTAGAAGTGGTCGGGATCAAGTTGAGGTAAGATTTTTAAAACCTGTATTTGCTATTTTCTATTTATTTGTGTCGAACAATTTTTCTTTTCAGTTCACCATGTGTGAAATGTATAACATGTATACCAATCAGGATAAGAGTAAAAACATAACAGTGTTGTCAACAATATTATATTTTAAACTAATTATTGTTTTTATAGACTGATATTGAAGTGTTTCGTCGAGATTCCAAAAAGCTTCCAAGTATGGATGACGGCACTATAGACTGGGAGGAAACTGTTTACCTAAACCTTATACTTCAACAAGTAGGTCAAGTTTCCCTAAACTTTATACTTCAATATGTAGGTCAAAGTTCCCAAAACAGAAATGAATAGAATAGGTCATCTTAGCTAAACTTCACACTTCAACAAGTCTGACAATTTTATTTAATTTTATACTTTCACAAGGAGATCAAGATAAAAATGTGAACACCTCTCAATTTGAAGAGTGAACAGTCATATTTGGAAAATTAACCTGTCTAATCTGAACACTTTTCATTAAATATCACATGTTAAAAATTGCTCAAATATTTTCGATTAAATACTGATTTGTTATGATATCAAAACTTTCAGAAAACCTTGAAATGTGAACACCTTTCAATCTGAACGCTTTCAGCCAGTTGCATTGCAATGGCATTTGGATTAGACATGTTTTACTGGAATTCATGTTATGAGATTTTTATGATTTTTCAGTTCCAGTATACAGTAACTTGTGCAGTGTGCACCAGGACTGGTGAAAAAGAACTACAAATACTCAAAAAAGTGTCTCAAGTAAGTACATGTACTTGTGATCAAAGTGAATCTTTATAATTGATTCATTCTTCATATGTTTACAGTAATGTTATGCCAAATGCCATATCAAATTGCTGAATAGCTACCAACAGATTTTAGTATTTCTTTCATAAAACAAATATTAGCAAATCCCCACTGTCGTTATTCAAGACAGGGGGCTATTGACGACGATGGGGGGTTTGCTAATATTTGTTTTATGAAAGAAATAGAAATATTACCATAATTAAATCTTAAATATTCAAAAGATCACATTTCAATCTACACTATGTAAAAAAATCAGAATTGTTGGCAACATTGATAACGTTGAAATACGTTTTACGTCGAAATAGATGATGAACTTCTCTCTCCAAACCGAGAATGGTCCTTTTGGCATTTATCAATCTTGCTCTGAAATCTTTTTAATTTCAGAAAGTGTACGCCTCGCCAAGCAGGAGACAGATGGACCACAAGGGGACAGAAGAGCAGATCACATACCCAAACATATTCTTCATGGTTGATAATTTTGAAGAGGTTAGTTACTGTGTTGATATAATGCATTTTCAAGGGTAGTCACATCTCTCATCATGGCCTAAATCAAATACATCATTAACCCCCTCAATCAAACAAACCACAATTATTTATATTAAATATAAAAACTGTTTAAGAAAGTTTCACACCTTCAGAAAAATAATGAAATATTACTTCAACATAATTTTAAAAAGATAGTTTGATTTTGACCTACCGGTATTGATAAATATATGAACTATATAATTTACTGTAACTTACAAATATCCACATACAATTTTGAAAAAGATTAACGCCATTGATTATTGCTATGGTACTTGTAATCATGGAAATTCTCAGCTACAGATTTGACTAATTGTCTAGTTAAGGAAAAAAGAAGATGTTTTTGATTACATGTACCAAGAATCTTAATTAAATTTTTTCCGATTGTAGCTATTCCAAGACATTATAGTGCGAGACAGTGAGATGGTCTGTGTTGAGTTAATAGCTTGTGATAGGAACGGATCATTCCAGGGAGTCATTTTCCTTGGTTCCATACGATATGATGCTCTCAAAAGTGTATATGATGCAAGGGTAAGTATTGAATACAGACAATGTGTAGACATAAAACAATGGCTGCTTTTCCAAGAAAATCGCTTATCCTTTCACTTTGACATTTTAACTGATGCAAGAGCTGATAAATGCCAAGATCTGATTAGGTTTTGGGCATACTGGGTAAATTGTATGGTGACCATTTTGTACTTCAAAGCGCAAAGAAAGGTTGATCAGGAGATAAAAATGGCTGTTATCCACCCACTAGGCAGGATGTCGAGGCAAATCATGTGTTGTCCTGAATAATATAGTTTCGGCTGAATAAATAAAAAGATGAAAGATTAAATTAAGATTGGACTAACAAATGCAACTAATACATAGATTTATTTTTAGGCAAGTTTATCATCCAGGATGGCGCAAAGGATGTCATTGGGATGGATCCATGGGAAGAAGCGTGTTGAGTTTGTTCGAATGAGGGGTCCACAGAGCAAGGGTCATGCAGAAATGGCATGTAGTCGTGTTAAGGGGTCTGGGGTGGAGACTCCTGATATAGAAAATTTTCCATTGGATGATTTTGAAGATGATAACGCTGTAAGTGAAATTATTTCAATGCATTTGATTTGAAATACACATAATTTGAAATTGATTTGATTCATTTCTGGAATCAATGGCTTTGAAGTCCTCTTCTCTCAGATTCAACTCCAATTTGGATCGTCCCCTACCTCTTCTGAGTACCACTATCCAAATAATCAACATTTTTGAATGCTTTTCCAATCCCAGTTAAACCAGATTTTATAAAGAACTATGCAATAAATCCAGTATAAAGTGGAACACCTCTGTAAATCCTTAAGTGGACAGTTTCACCTTTGCAAGAAGAGCCTCTGCAAGTGGAACACATCCCAAGTGGAGGCACAGATATTTTATTTAGGTTTTACTGTCATTTCAGTCTGAGCAATACAATCACAGGAGGATGAGTGATCCCAATGCTTCCTTAGGCACCTACTTCAGATCCAGTTTCAGACGAAGTATGAAGAAATCACGCTCTGAGACAGAAAATGTCGACAGCTGTGGTCTTAATGGTCTGCAAGAGGTTGAAGCTGGAAACCTTGAAGATGGTAAGCAAAAACTGTATATATCTATTCTCCTTTTTTAAACAATAGGTTTATTACATTACAAGATTTTCGATGTCATTTTGCAGTAGAATTTGGTAAGTTGCCTTCAAATATGCTAGTATGTTTATTTTCCTCGCAATACATTTTCTCCATGGATTTTAAATGTTACATTTAAATTTTAAAATGAAACCATGTTTTTCTGTTAAATTTATCAATCCAACAGCTGAATGGAAGACTTGAAAAATAGAGAGCATCCTGAGTTTAATGGTATTTGGGTTATCTCTAGGAAAATAAAATATATTTTCTGCAAGGGCCATAGGTCCTAATCAGTTAAATCAAACAAGGGCTTGCATTAACGGCGTCCCGTACATGTTAAGGACTCAAACATTTGGAGGACGCAAAAATTGAAAATATTTCTGTTTCTTGGACGCAAATTTTTTTTAGGTCAATACTACAATGTGTTTACAACGATACCTAACAAAAACAAATAATTATGATCTCTCACCTTTATTTGAATCGTAAATAAGGCTCAACATGTTGAATATTTACAAATAATCATGATTCTCTCGAATTTTTCCGACTTTGTTTATTTTAGATTTGAAACCATGACACGTCACAGTTTTTCCTATTCAGAAACAAATATTAGGTTATTCATGAAATAAAATGTATTCATTGTCGAATGAACGAACATGCATTTATTCAATCCGTACCTAACGTTTACTTCCGTTTTAAATTCGCAGCAAGAAATCAAAATCTGAAAGGTGTTTTGGTAAAAAATGCTTTTAAAATAAAGTTATACCTCAAAACAGGCTAGAAATAGGGGACACACTTTTTTTCAAAGGACACACTTTTTTAAAAAAAATGCGTCCTTGGGACTCACAAATTTTCCATACTAATGCAAGCGCTGCAAACTCTAGTAAATATTGAGTATTATCCTACACTTAGTGTACTAAATGTATAATAACATGAAAAAATAAATTTGATATTTATTGGCAATATGAATAACCGGAGGATATCGTAACGATATACTCCGGGTGGAGGATATCGTGACGATATACTCCAGAAAACCTAATATGCGGAGGATATTGTGACGATATACTCCGCTTGTTGATTTCCCGCCAAATTGACTCTATTTGGCATGAAATTCATTTTGCAACGATATTATACATTTAGTACACTCCTTGTAAGTGTAGGATAATAAGAACATCCTATGATTTTTTTCAGAATATCATTTTAATCTACTCGGTGATATTGATATATGCACTCGTTCGCTTTGCTCTCTCGTGCAGATATCAATATCACCTCGTAGATAAAAATGATATTCCTCAAAATCATAGGATATCCTATAATTATTAGATATGACAGAAGAAAAAAGTTACCGTATCTTCAACATTGAAATCATCTTCCACTTTAAGATGGAATGAATGTTTGGGTTTTCATTGAGTTTTTCCATCAAGTACAGATTCTTAATTTCATTAGAATTGTTCATTTGTTTGCAGCCTTTGATGACGACCCCGATAGTCTTGGTTTATTCGGTCAAACATTTGGTCAAGCATGGCACTGGTTCAAGGATAAAAAACGTGCCAACTCAGTCGCTCTAGAAGCATATCTTACTTATATCACTCTTCCATGGCACCGTATAATAGCAGGTAAGTTAAAGCCATAAATTATTTGAAGTTATTTTTGATTTATATCAATTTTTCCATGTTTGTGATTTCTGGTTTTGTCTTATTTCCTAATATGTGAAGAGAATATTGCATTAAATATTTTATATTAACACTCCTTCCACATTTGAGAAGTGATTCCAACAGAATTTTTTTTGCGATGTTTTTGCATGTGATACTGAAATATCCCATCGACCCCATAGTAGCTGAAGTATATTCTTTGGCTTAAGTTTTAAACTCCAAATAATTTGTTTCAGATGTTTTAGAAGTGCGGCAAGAACCAGTATTAACATTTTGACACCACAGCATCTAGTCAGTGAGACCCCTTCTCTACCACTAAAGGGTCGTGTAATTAAGACCCCTTGTTATAATCGCAAGTGGGCATAATCAGGTCACAGCAGAAGAACAAACCACTGCCTTTTTACATAATGTCCATTCCACACTAAATAGATTAGTTTATGTTTTCTATAATTCCTACTGAGTTTACAGGTTCAAAATGAGATTTTAATACATGTAAAATTGATATATTTTTGTGGAACTTTTAGGAATATAACTTGAGCATAGCGTACTTCATCAGAGATTTCCAGAAATCATACATCGCAATTTTGAATGATTAAACATAGTATGCCAGATTATTCTGGTGTGTAATTGAACTGTTAGTGGATTTATATATTTTTTATTTTTATGCAAATTTTTGCGGTTTAACTTCATGCCATATCACAACATTATTCCACCTTATATCTGTGTTGATTGTTTGCATTTGATTTGATGAGTGTTTTATTTGGTGATTTCAAATAAAGTACTCCATTTTGATTTGTCAAATTGAAGTATACAAATTGAAATTATCCAGTCTACCTTGATTCTGCAGAAGCAACAATAGATCAATTGATAAATTGGATAAATGATATGCCGCATCTGAACTGTGTTGTCGATGTGGTAAATATTGAACTGTGGTGTCGATGTCTCAGACAATTTTGATTTTCTTGTTTATTTTACTTGTATATACATTTACAGTTATAATTGCCAAAATTAGCGGCAAATTTGCAGATCACACAGGCCCACCCTATGCAGACAGAGCCTGTGGGAAATATTGGGTGCGGCGCAAATGAGCGGAGGGTGCGGAGCTAACGGTCATTTTTGAATTTAAAATTGGGATATTTCTGAAACTAAGCCGTTTTGGGACTTCAAATATACCAAGATATGTGTATTTGACACCAAATATCAATAAAATTGTGAAAATAGTAGTGTAATTCATTTTATAGCGACGCAGTATGCCTTAAACATTTCCCAGACCTATATATTTTGAGACTATCCTTTTAATACTGCGTCCCCAGCATTCATAAAAAATGGTGTTCAAGATACACTACCCATGCAAATTATTTTTGCATCTTGGAAGCCAGGCAGTATCTGTGTGATTTTATAAAAATTCGGAAATGTTCTTCAGATATGAGCCCCTCTAGATATTGGGTGCGGAGCTACGTTTATGGAGCTGCTCCGCACCCAATATTTAAAGGGGCTCATATCTGAAGAACATTTCCGAATTTTTATAAAATCACACAGATACTGCCTGGCTTCCAAGATGCAAAAATAATTTGTATAGATAGTGCACCTTGAACACCATTTTTTATGAATGCTGGGGACTCAGTATTAAAAGGATAATTTCAAAATATATAGGTCTGGGAACGGTTTAAGGCACACTGCGTCGCTATAGAATGAATTGCGCTACTATTTTCACAATTGTATTGATATTTGGTGTCAAATACACATATCTTGGTATATTTGAAGTCCCAAAACGGCTTAGTTTCAGAAATATCCCAAATTTAAATTCAAAAATAACCGTTAGCTCCGCACCCTCCGCTCATTTGCTCCGCACCCAATATTTCCCACAGGCTCTGTCTGCATAGGGTGAGGCCCGTAGCCAGAATTTTCCAAGGGGGGTTCACTTTTCCAAAAAATTCTAGGGGGGGGGTTCACTTTGGTAAATTTGGCCAAAAATCACTCAAAAAATAGTCAGAATGGTGAAAAACTGCATGATTTTGAAAGAAATTTTGGCCAGGAGGGGGTTCGCCCGAACCCCCCGAACCCCCCCTGGCTATGGGCCTGTCACATAATAGGTCTGAAGAGACCTCTAGTCCATCGCAAGCTGAAAAGCAATAATCATGATTTATGTGATAAGTCAGTCTAATTATTTTATTTGTTTATTTGCCTTTGTAATAAATTATAAATTGATGCATTAATATCAATTCATAGTGACAGTTGTGTCAAATGAGTGCATAAATGTCAAATGAGTGCATATGGGCATAGAATATATAACAGATAATTTTGGAAATATTTACTGATGTCTAAAATTGGTATATAGTAGTTCAGTTTTTTAGCATTATATGTATTATATCAAAGAGAGAACAGTTGAAATAAATTTTTCATCCATCCATATGTATATATCTGTAGGGAATTCAGTCAAGATGCGCATTTTGGAATTATTCATCAGCAATTTTAGCAACTTAGAATACAAGTATGGGTCAATTAACTCTTGTATATCCCCTAGATATATATGACCTGATTTTAATTCAACAATTGATGATTTGCGATCACCGGATAGATCCTATCTTGTAGTGACGTCACAATTTGGCCACACTGCTTTAGCTGTTTGATTTTGAGAGATTATCTTCTGCATTTCATACTTTATTGATTTATTTTTCAAGTATTCGATTTGACTAAATCAACATTCATTCTAAGAACATTCTTAAGATCTTACCGACATGATTTAGATAGCAGTTTAGCACCCCTGGGGGTGCTTATAGGCATTGATGTTTAGTGTGAATCGAAACACCACACATATAAAGATATACTCATGATCTAGTCAAATCAACATACCTGGTAAAAATCCGACCTTTAGTTTGCATGAAAGAAACTATAATTTTTTTAGCTCAGAACTGCCACGTTCCCATTTTGTCTCTGCATCATGTCTTATATCATTTTTATATGACATCATAAGACTCATACGAATAAGACAAGATACATGACAACAGTATCCATAAACAAAATACTTGAATTCTGATCGCAAAAGGTCAATTGTCTAAGTTGATGATAAATATAATTAATTTTCCTCCACAAAATGCAGTCTTACAAGGGTTAAAAGTATGTGTGTACAATTGTGTTTTCAATATTGTGATTAGGATCAAGTTTCTCAAATCATCAGCCTATATATGAATAAGTGAGTGTGTAGTGTCTATGTTGCGATATTGTAAACATACGTTATCTAATAAGGAAGGAAAAGGGACAACTAAGACCCCTATTCAAACCATATCTAAAGAAACTGGTATCTGGTTATAGACCATCATGAAACCAATTACTAGACTGTTATTTCATATACAAGTACATGTATACAAATTATATCAATGCAATTGATATGTGCAATTTCTTAAATTATTATTTTGATCCAACATGATGCAATTTGTGTGACGCGTGTGTATGCAGACGAGGCTTACCAATTTTTGTTTTGTATCTCATGTAAGATATATCTCATAGTCCGTAAGTGCGCTTTGATATTTTTATAATTTTTTCTAAATGTTTGCAAAATCAGAGAATCCCTAAGCTTAAGATTAAACATGCAGGATTTCTTTGGAGTATTATTACAGTTATTACAATTCGTGTGAATACAGTTCATGAACACATAATCTGGGATCAGTATTCAAATTACCATTTAAGACTAGAGTATCTCAAGGTACTTATCAATGACCAATGGTCCCCAAACTTCTTTTATTTATTATTTGTAAATTCAAAAGCATCATGATAAGGCACTTGTGTATTTTTAGTAGTGCCTATACATACATGTAGAGACTGTACATGATTTTAGTGCCAAAGGCAGTGTATGTGTGTATTATGTATGGCCAGTATTTTTGGCAGTACAGGTTTTGTACAATATTTCATCTTCCAATTGAAGAGCTCCAAATGTCAAAAATATGTTTATCTGGATCTTTGAGGCCTTCATCTGGATGATGAACTCATTGTGAAAAAATGATCAATTTTGGAATTCACTGAATTTTGAAATTAGTTTGTTTAATAATTATTAAAGGTAGTTCCACACTTTAAGGTAATAACCAAAAATTGATTGAATCAAAAAAGAATGTGTCATATCTGATATAGTGCATAACTTCCTTAAACTAGACACCAGCTTTATTCAATTGGATACTCAATGAATTCCAAAATGTATCCTTTTAATACTGAAATATTATCTTTATATATTCATATATGGTAGTTTATTTTGTAGAAATAGCAGTTACCTGCAGTGTATTATCACAATGTGCAATTGTATTTATGTATATGTTATGTAGGCTAATGTTCAAAATAAGAGAAGGGGCTTCAAGAATTATGTAAATTTCTACCCTACTCTGTAATAAATGCCTCAGGGTGTCACTGTGTGTGTAAATCCCCCAAAAATATGAAATGGAATTCAAACCATCCTCCAATCACAGGGCTTCAAAATCCAGAATATATTCTTTCTTTTTACCCCCTGCGATAAGCAGTTAGCCTTTCCCCGATTAAGAACTCGCAATCTGATTGGCTGTCGCAACAATGCGACAGAAATCATGTATAAGTCATTGCGCATAATAAGATCACGTGATTCAGTTTAATCGGGCGCTTCCAAATTGGTTATAGCAGGGGGAAGAAGGAGGTATGGATTCTGGATACCTGCTTAGGAGGATGGATTCAAACAAGCTATTAAAATTATTATTATTCAAATTACATGGACAATAGGAAACAAATAATATCAAACATCATCTGTTTTGACAAGAAACACATTAAGAATTTCATAAAATCAGAAAAATAGACATTGTATTACTACAATGATTAAAAGGGGAAGGCTAGGCTAGTATCATTTCTCAGGTCTATGCTGAAGCCTATGAAATTCAGGAGTAAACATTTCAGTTGGATAAACCTGATTAACTCAAAGGAACCATGGCTTGAAGAATCCGTATAGAGAAATGTTGTTATGTCACCACCAAAAGTGGTGACATATTGTTATGGTCTCCGTTTTTTTGCGACGGCGGTTGGCGTCCGGCGTCTGGCGTCCGGCGTCTGTAACAATTTCTTACAACTTCCTATAACTTAACAAATACTGTTTAGACTGACTTCAATTTTTTTCTAAATCATCTACATGTTCTCAGAAGTTCAAATCTGACTTTAGATTTGACATTTGACCTTCAATGACCTTCTCAAGGTCAAAAAGGTCTTTTTTCAACTTGCTTCACATTGACTAATTTTTTTTTCAAAATCATCTACATGTTCTCAGAAATTCAAATCTGACTTTAGATTTGACTTTAGATTTGACATTTGACCTTCAAATCTGACTTTAGATTTGACATTTGACCTTCAATGACCTTCTCAAGGTCAAAAAAGGTCAAAAAGGTCTGTTTTCAACTTGCTTCAAATTGACTAAATTTTTTTTTCAAAATCATCTACGTGTTCTCAGAAATTCAAATCTGACTTAAGATTTGGCATTTGACCTTCAATGACCTTCTCAAGGTCAAAAAAGGTCAAAAAGGTCTGTTTTCAACTTGCTTCAAATTGACACCATTTTTTTTTTTTAAATCATCTACGTGTTCTCAGAAATTCAAATCTGACTTTAGATTTGACTTTAGATTTGACATTTGACCTTCAATGACCTTCTCAAAGTCAAAAAAGGTCAAAAAGGTCTTTTTTCAACTTCCTTCAAATTTTTTTTTCAAAATCATCTACATGTTCTCAGAAATTCAAATCTGACTTTAAATTTGACCTTTAATGACCTTCTCAAGGTCAAAAAGGTCTGTTTTCAACTTGCTTCAAATTGACCAAATTTTTTTTCAAAATCATCTACATCTTTTCAGAAGTTCAAATTTGACTTTACAAGTTCTCAGAAGTTCAAATCTGACTTTAGATTTGACCTTCAATGACCTTCTCAAGGTCAAAAAGATCTTTTTTCAACTTGCTTCAAATTGACTAATTTTTTTCAAAATCATCTACATGTTCTCAGAAGTTCAAATCTGACTTTAGATTTGACATTTGACCTTCAATGACCTTTTCAAGGTCAAAAAGGTCTTTTTTCAACTTGCTTCAAATTTACTTAATTTTTTTTTCAAAATCATCTACATGTTCTCAGAAGTTCAAATCTGACTTTACATTTGACCTTCAATGACCTTCTCAATGTCAAAAAAAGTCAAAGAGGTATTTTTTCAACTTGCTTCAAATTGACCAATTTTTTTTTTTAAATCATCTAAAAGTTCTCAGAAGTTCAAATCTGACTTTAGATATGAGATTTCACCCTCAATGACCTCAGGGTCAAAAAAGGTCATTTTTCAATTTGCTTCAAATTGACCAATTTTTTCAAAATCATCTACAAGTTATCAGATATTCAAATCTGACTTTAGATTGAACTAATAATATTTTGAGCAACTAGGTGGTGACATTTTGTCATGTTAATGCCTTGTTATTCAGTTATTGCAGCATTGATTTGTAAAGTTATTATAGTGCATTTGGTACTTCTCTTTCTAATCCCAATAATAATGAGGCACAAATAGTACAGTATAACCTGTTAATGAAGCCATTTTCATTGCAAAATATTTGTAATATTGTCAGTCGTATACATGTACTCTTCTACAACTATATAATAAAAACTAAATAAATTATTTTTATAATTAAGTATATATATGATTATTTTGTTATATTGTATTATCTCACAAGATCACTTTGATTGTCAATCCCAATTATATTAAAAATTATAAAAACACAAAACAGCATTTTCCTGAATTAAGAAATGTTCTAACAATTTCTTTATTACAAATTAAGTGCATTATCAGTCATCAGCAACAAAGTCCATAAACACTGCAACCTTGTGGCACAATAAATGTAAGACTGAAATAAGCTTGATGACTACTGTATAGATGGTGGTCTGATTTCCAGCCCAAATAATTTGCAACTATGTAAGGGTTGCCCTTTTCTAGCTAGTTTAACACGGAGGCATTTACATTTTTAATATATTGAACGCACAAATGATGCCATCTATTATGAGTCGCCTCCGTCACTGATATGACAATCTTCATACCTTGGACCCGTATCCTCTGCAAGGTAACTAAACATCTTTCACTGAGTTTCAGGAACAGAGGCAGTGTTCTCCACAGGATTTTTTCTCAAGTGGGTGCAAAATAATTTGGATCAAAATTGGTCAAAAAATATCACAATCTTTAATGATTTTCTCATTTTCAAGTGGGTGCAAATGGATTTTCAGGTGGGTGCGAGCTTGTTTCTGAAATCTGAGGTGGGTGCTGCGCCCACTTGATTCAATGCTGGGGAGATCACTGAGAGGTGTGTGAATTATAACTGGCAAGACATAGGGAAGCATTAGTACCCCCAAATCCAAATGAATTTGTAACTGCATGTGTCACTCCACTTGGCATTAATTGGGGTTCCCCTTTAACTAGGTTCAAATCTTTAAACTCCTTATCCTCATTTTGAAGATTTGTATTAAAAGGGATGTTCCTTGTTTTGAGAGCTAATATGGTAAATATAGATTCAACGCTCCCTGCTGCTCCAAGGAGATGGCCAACTGCACCTTTAGTGGAGGATATTGCAAGTTTATTATTTCCAAATACTCTAGATATGGCCCTGAGTTCTGCTGCATCACCTACAGGTGTGGATGTTGCATGAGCATTGATGTATCCAATTTCACTTATGTCAACCTTAGCTTCATGAAGGGCTTTAGTCATACAGAGTTCAGCTCCTCTTCCAGATTCAGTTGGAGAACTGATGTGATGGGCTTCCCCTGAGAGGCCATATCCCTTCACCTCAGCTAAGATATCCACACCTCTGGCTTTAGCATGTTCCAGTTCTTCAAGAACCATTATACCAGCACCCTCACTCATTACGAACCCATCTCTAGATTCATCAAAAGGTCTTGAAGCTTTATGTGGTGTGTCATTAAACTTAGTACTAAGGGCCCTCATTTTAGCAAATCCTGCCAAGCCTATAGGGCTAATACAAGCCTCTGTCCCTCCGCATACCATGACATTGGCATCTCCATACTTGATGAATCTAAAGGCATCCCCTGTAGCATGTAGTCCAGTGGTACAAGCTGTGGACACTGCATGGTTAGGCCCCTGTACAAATAGAACAAAACCATTTAGTTTAAATGTTGAATTAAATGCATTGATGTATATTGACTGTCCTTAATATGTTTTAAAATGTGACTGACGAACATCATAAATACAATATAAATGCATGCCAAAACTAAAATTGAACTACTTACCTGGATAAAAAAATTTTAAAGAAAAATCATGAAAAATATTAAATATATAATCTGCAAATTCATGAAAATTAAGTTTGCTAAATTTGTTGTTTTACAGTATTTGATTGACCCTTGAGTTTTATATGTTTTGTACAAAAACACAAGTGCACCAACCTGAAATCCATATTTCATGGATATCAGTCCTGCAGGGATGTTGATTAGAATCCTGGGTACGAATCGAGGGTCCACTTTCCTATATCCTTGTTTATATAGTGTCTCTGCTACCTCGTAAATGTCATCCAAACCAACCATACCACTGCCAACTGCTACACCTGATAAGACAAGAAATTGGTTTAAGATCAATACACTGTAACTTGGATATTATAATATCCATCTTTCAGCTACTACCTTGTGATATTAATTAGTTTTAATGTTGTTTTAATATTAATATATTGAAGTCTGAAGTATAAAGTGTAGAATGTCTCAAAAATTATCTTCTCTTATTGTATATTGTGACTATTTGTGTTTAAAGCATTATTTCAGGGCATACCTGTTTCTAGCTTTCCCTCCTCTGTCAAAGATGGGCTATCCCATTTTGCCATTTTTAGGGCTTCCCTTGCAGCCTCTAACGCATACAAGGACATGGTTGACATCTCACGTTGTTCAGCTGTACTATAGAGTTGTTCCATGTTGAGGTCCCCAATAGATGACCCTCTGGGAATATGACCTGCTACTGTACAAGGAATTTTTGTGTTTTCAAATTCTGAAAATAAACATTTAAAAGTGAACCCAGGGTCTGTTACTGCTACCTAATCAAAATAAACCAACAATGTATAATTTAAGGGTCCTGTATAGGCAGATTGATTCACATATTCTGACAGTTCTAATTTACTTGAAATTAATCCTTAAACTTTTTTAAGTTATTTGGCCAAAAAAAATAAATATATATATACTTTCTATCCATTTTACTTTCTTTAGAATCAAGCTGATATTATTCTTACCTTGTATTTTAACATGAGTGATACCAGAATCGCCTCTGAGAAGTCTCCTCCAGACAAAGCTAATATTATTCTTACCTCGTATTTTAACATGAGTGATACCAGAATCGCCTCTGAGAAGTCTCCTCCAGACAAAGCTAATATTATTCTTACCTCGTATTTTAACATGAGTGATACAAGAATCGCCTCTGAGAAGTCTCCTCCAGACAAAGCTAATATTATTCTTACCTCGTATTTTAACATGGGTGATACCAGAATCGCCTCTGAGAAGTCTCCTCCAGACAAAGCTAATATTATTCTTACCTCGTATTTTAACATGAGTGATACCAGAATCGCCTCTGAGAAGTCTCCTCCAGACAAAGCTAATATTATTCTTACCTCGTATTTTAACATGGGTGATACCAGAATCGCCTCTGAGAAGTCTCCTCCAGACATGCTCTACACCAACTCCAAGACATGTGACCAGACCAATGCCAGTCACAACCACCCGGCGCCCCACTGAGACACAAGCAGTCATTCTGCAAATGTAAAACTTCATTGAGAGAAATGTCTTGTGGTAAAGTAGTCAGAAACTGAAAGCTGCTTAGCGTGCTTATATGTATGAATGACATTGCTTCAATTTGTCTAAGTGCATTCATTCATTCATACATGTATAACATTTGTTTTAAATGGAGACTAGCATATAGTTGAAGCCATTGTAACGTTACCTCACACAAGGTTGCAACTATGAGCGTGTCCAATCCCACTGATGATTTAATTAGATTGTCTTTTGAGGCAATAAAAATGTAAACATAGAATATACATGGTTTATCTCTCCATTATCTTTTAGGCCTACAGTGAAATTACCTGAACGAACATCATATCTGAAGTCCTAAAGAGAGATATTGCAATTAGGTGCATTGTATATTTATGGAAGGACCCCTCGGAGAAGCTTGATGTGAATGCAACAATCAATGGCCTTATAGAAGGGATACTGTACAAATCCCTCTATGGCTTTACATTCATTAACACTTGCCCTTGCTAAATATTTTCAAAACTAGTTTGCCTAAACTAGTTAGAATATCAACTAATGAGAGATTCTAGACCTTAGATTTTAGATTTTAGACCTTAGTGGCATGGTTTCAGAGTTCACTGGCAGTCCTTTGGATGCCAACCCCACAGCCAACCAACTACCAGCAAACTACCCCCCCCCTCCCCAAAACTGACCTCTCACTCAAAACACCACAAGCCATCTTACCAGCCAAGCAAGCAACTAATAAACCAACTGACCAGCCTAGCAACAAACCTTAGCTGGTTGGGTGGGTGCTTGGTTGGTCAGCCCCTTGCTTAGTTGTTTGGTTGGTTACTTTGTTGTTTGATTAGCTGGTTGGTTGGTTACGTTGTTGGTTGCTTGGTTGGCTGGCAGTGGCTACTCTTGACTTGTTGCTTGGTTTGATTTACTTATTAGTTTCATGGTTGATAAGTTGATTGATTGTTAGCTGATTAATCAGTTAGGTAGTTGATTGATTGGTCTTTTACTTTATTAATTGTTTGGTTGATTGATGAGCTGAATGGATGATTGGTTGGTCAGTTGCTAGCTTAGTTGTATGATTAGTTACTTTGTTGATTGGTTGGTTCTTTGGTTGGTTGGTTTGTTTGCTGGTTGGTTGATTGGTAGGTTTCTTGGTAGATTAGTTGGCTGGTTGTTTTATGTGTTGATAGTGTGTTTGATTGGTTGGATGACTGGTATGGTGAGTGGGAGGTAATTGGGAGGATGGTTGTTTGTTTGGATTGTTGGTTGGCTGTGTGATTGGCATCCAGAGGAATTCAAGTATATTTTGACACCACCGCTAAGGTGAGAATTTAGCGACTTTTGGATTGAAAGATTTCGAAGTGACAGAATGTCCCAGAATTAACAGATGAAAATTTGCTCCATATAAATATGTATGAACCTCAATGGAGACAGTTCCATCCCCGGGAGTCCATCTATGGTTTCTTTGGTGGGTGATAATAGACTAAGCTTAGATTCTGAATATTTCATAAATAACTCAAACGCACAGCGATATGAATAAAACAACAACATAGTTTAATTAACTGGCTTTAAGAAATTCATAATTACCTTTAGTCATTATTCATCGAAATGCCAAAGCATACAAAATGCAGAAAAGAGAAGTAAAAAAACTTTTTCAAAAAATTTTCAAACCAGAATGAAATCGATGTAGCGAACTGATTTTCAATGCATATTGATTGTTCTTATACCGTACAAAGATCAAAATGCAGGAACTAAAGTTCCAATCTATGCCTAATTTCAGGCGATTGTACCCAACAGAAGAAGATGACAATAATAGGACACCGATCGGAAAGGTCTACAGAACATCCAGGCCGGATTTTCTCACATCTGAAGAAGCAGAAGTTGTAAGAGACAAGCTTGGAATAAAATCTATAATCGACTTCCGATCCTCAAATGAATATACGAACATAGCCAATGGGTCCAAGGTTCTTGATACAGACTACAAAGTTTATAAAATCAAGATTCCATTTTTAAATTTCAATCAGAAACCATTGAAAGCAGTCGCAGCTAAACATCTACCAAGGAAACGCTTCAGGAAATCAGATGAAAATTGTAGTCGTCGTCATTTCCTCATTGATTTCTTCAAGCTCAATTATATATGGCTTATATACAGCAGAGCACCTTTGATTACAAAGGTATTCTCTTTGGTATACCTAATCTATGATGCAATATTCCGAACAGGCTTTAGATACTTTGTCCGTCCATTCGCCAAAGCTGTTCTAAATCCAAGGGGTATTTTAGGACAGTATAAAGACATTATTGAACAAAGCCAGAATGGTATATGTGCAGGTATGACAAACCATGGTGTATCAGATATACATTTTGATGAATCGATATATGTTACTATCGTGGCATATACATGTATGCCTGAGGTTTATGCTGATATATGATCCCTGGGAACCGAGGGAAGATGTGCCACGATAGTTACATAAACAATTTATAATGCAATTCTTTATGTAATGAGGAACACTTCAGATTAGAAAATGCAGGGCTGTTTCACCATAAAAGTTAGCCAAATTTGTATGTGTACCAATATCCAACCAATATACTTAAGTTTTTATTCGTTGTAGCTTTAAAACTGTTATCTGACCAAGAGAACATTCCAGCAATGATCAACTGTGCCCATGGTAAAGACCGGACTGGAATAGTAGCAGCTCTTCTGTTAGCAATCATGGGAAAATCTAAAGAGTACATAGCTTATGAATATAGCCTCTCAACAGTAAGTTTGTCACCAGTCAACTTTCATTTTTGTAACATGCATCCAGTAAAAATTTCACCTAGTTTGAGGAAATATGTTCAATTTCAAATGTTTCAGTTCTGTTAATATATATGGATCTCCCATACATTGAGGTGGCTTACTTATATAATTTAAATTATATTTGGTTGAACATACATGTATGGTTTATTCAATCTCCCGTAATGGTGTTTTGCAGGAAGGCCTCAAGCCAATGTATGAGCGTGCCTACTCAGAGATAGTCGATAGGTTCCACATGAGTGAGACATTTGTCACAGCTGAGGCAGAAACCATGTATGGTCTCCTTACTTATATAGACAATGAGTGAGTAACTGCCCCCAATCATGAATTCCATTGTAGACTTATTTTCAATTTTACATGTGTATAATCAGCTCCATAGACAGGGGGTTTGAGCAATCCCCCCCTGGCCAAAAATTGTTCAAAATCATGCAGTTTTCACCATTCTGAGCATTTTTCATGTGATATTGGGTCCTTGGATTTCGGAATTTTTTTTATAAAAGTGACCCCCCCTCATTGGAAAAGGCTACGGGCCTGATAATATTAATCATAACCAAATGGGCACCTGTTGCATTTTTATTTCAGCTATCTGTCAAATGACTGTTAACTGTGTATATGAAGAAAAAATAAGAACAAAACATTGCCCTCCATTCATCGTAACAATCTGTTTTAAATGGGTGCAAAAAAATGGGCATAGAATTTCCTTCATTGAGTTTTGCCACATTGCATTTGTAGTTTTGCACTTTTTCTATTTAGATGGGTTTAAGTATATGGAGTTGCTGGGCTTGCCGAAAATTTACATCTTTTTTTAACATTTTGTATGATGTAATATTTAATAACATGAAATACAATTATATTATGGAAAAAAAAGTTTCTAAAGAAAAATATTTTGCCACCATTTTTTGACTGACAACACAGTGTTTATTTTGTCCCACTTTTTAAAGTTTGACTTGCCTATTTGTAGACCCTTGCCTTTTCCATAATATGAGTAATATGTTCTACTGTATATTCCAGGTATGGATCTGTAGAGAACTATCTCACATATATAGGATTTGACAAGAATGACCAGGCACAGTTACGAAGAGTCCTTTCTGAATCTGATGCTGACTCTGAGACTATATAATCTGAACTTTAGTAAATTACAAAAATTTAGATCCATTGCAATAAACTATATCAGGTGCACATAGAAGGTCTAGTACATGTACATGTATGTTGCATTTTGAAATACTTATTTTCATGTATACAGTATGTGCATAAAGATATTTATAGTTTTTATCATGACAAGTGGAATAAACATATATTTATACATGTATTGTTTTAAAGACTATAATTCTGATGAACTATAGACTAGTCAGTTGAATTATGAGAACTCTAGCCTGAAATATCTGGCTAAAAGTATTCAAGTGTTCATATTTTCAGGTGTTCAAATTTGATTTTATTGAATGATGTGAGCTAATGTAAAATATATACAAGTGTACAATACTTACTACTACTATATATTTGATATATTTATATTTTAAAGACCATTTGTGAAACAAGTGCACAGAGATTGCAGTACTTTTTTGAAATTATGTGTTTCTTAGAAAATATTTATGTCCATATCATGGGCTTTTCTAGTGGAAAGCCCATGTCCATATTTATTGCATCTTTATTCATGACAAATGGAATATACATGTAAAGTATTTTTTTGAATATTGTGAAGAATTGGCAGTAAAGAAAATAGAAAGTGTAGTGTTGGAAACATCTTTTTCTCAACATTCCATGTAAAGTCCAACATATCTGATTTAATTTAGTTTCATAATGGTAATGCTTTGGGTATAAACAAATAAAGGTTGATATTAAAGCAATAATTTTGAAAAAGTGGACACCTTGAGAGAAACATAGGCCTTCAGATTGGCCATGGGCTTTCTCCTGATAGCCCATGGATATATCTATCCCAGTTTTTTAGAAAATAAAAGGAGGATCACATTTGAAATATTGGCATGCTATTTGAAGATAGTTTTAAAATTCTGACTTTTCTCGTCACTATTCTTTTTTGCTCTTATGGTTTTCATATTAGAATAAATCTACATTATACCTACATTAAATAGTTTACATTTATAAGATGTATTTATAAGACAATAAGTAATTGACCAAGTGTGAATTTAGTACGTACTTCTATGTATTCTATGTACTTGTACTAGTATTGTTCAGTCAGTATACACAACTATGCAGTTCATGTATACGTACTGTAGTAAATAATAGAGATATAGAGAACTATATTTTATTCATATTCTAAATAAATAATATGCTAATGAAATTTAAATATAGTTTGCCTTTGCTTCATTTATTGTGAAAAAATAATCCATTTTGTATAACTCAGAGACATATACTAATTTTATGTCTCGTGGTAACTGTATTCTACTTTTTGTCACTTGCTGGATTTTAAAAATTGCTCACTAGATCAGATCTGATTATGGATTCAGCTCTTCGAGTTTCCTTCTGAATAGATTGTGACCCCCCCCCCCCCAACAAAACACACATCTGGAGAATAGACAGAGGAAGAGGAGACCATGAATCTGAAAACACTTGGAACCAGTATTAAAATCTATGTCAAGCATGTGTTGAGAGAAACATTTCACTGATCGCCCAGAATTTATTTGGACATCCCGAGGTCATTTCCCGGGTCATTTCTGTCTATAAACATGTAAACTCTTCTGATCTACAATTGGATATAAAACGGATCTCCTGTAGCCAAACAATTCAATCAATAAAACTCAAAATTAAATAGGCTCATTATGTGATGTGATATTGGTGTTTCATCGCATTTTATTTGTAAAAGTCTAACTCCTCATTCAGTCATTGAACTTGACATCGTGGGATTAACATTAACATCTTTTTCCAGTTTCTTTTGTTTGCTATAGATAATGACATAGTTAGATAAACACAGATGCGAATAATTGATTTCGTGCCTTCACAAATATGTGTGGGGATGACTCATAGGCGCATCCCAATGCAAGGCCCCGCGCTGTAAATACCCTGCGCGCAGAGTCTAGTTAAGGCGAAGCGCTCTTTAAAGAAGAGAAGTCAACGAATGTAAAGGGTACGCTGAAAATTAATTCTGGCCAGAAATTACAACCTAGAATGGGAAATACTCCTGAATTCATAGACTACCATTTTCTTCATGCAACTTGAGGTTTAGCCATGCATTCTGATCACAAACACCAAAAGCCCATGATCTTACCGATTTATGTAAATCTATGTAATTCCATCGGGCAGCACCTTCCAATTTCTTCCCGGGCAGAATTAAACTTGTCAGAAGCGTAAAAATGGAAGCTAAATTGTCCAGTAATTTTTTACCATTTGGATTGGTTCCATCTCAAAAATAAGCGAGAATCAGATCTGTTTCCATTATAGAATATTTTATATTATATCTATTTTTTAACAATCCCCAAAGTGAGCATATTTCATTCCAGCAAAACTAAAGATTTTTACATTTATGTATTATTTTTCTATTTTCATGGCTACTATTTCCACTTTGAAGCCTCAACAACTTCACCAATTTATAACATTATCGTGAATCTCTTGGTATATATTGTTTTTGAGATCATAAGGAATATATAGATTGGTAGGCCAATTGTACACGTTGCTTGCAATTTTGGCACCCCTAATAGATCGTAAAAAACTCGACTTTTACTGTTGACTTACACTGATAAATACGGACTATGCTAAAATCACTTTTCACAACCCGGGTTCAATTTCGTACGTGAAAAAAACAACCCGGAACGTTCCATGAAAACTTTGCATGACGCGGGGCATACATCAAGACTGGGATGATCGACCTTAATGTAATCTAGAAGATCTATGTTTTCTTGATGCGTTTCCTTTGGGGAGTTTATTTGATATGTGCTCCAGATGGCAGTGGTATTCCTCGATTTCGTGTTCATGAATATATAAATAATTACCGACAGCCTACGTTGTTTTATTTTGACGAGATAAAAATTCAATGCTTCTGGCATAAAACATTCAATTCGGTGAAATTATTAGTTCTAAATCCTTGAACTAGTTTTTACATAGGAACACTCGAGGCTTCAATTCAGGGAACATTTCTAATAAATGAGGATATCTTCGCATGCTCTGTCTTCCCTGCGTTCAGACCGATGGGGGACGAGCGCACGAATATCGGAAAGAAGAACGCATTCAACTCAAAATAATGAAATATCATGAATATTGTATAATTGAAAAATCGATATATCCCCTATTTGGCTTCTGTCTGATTAACTTTAATCACATTATTTGGTTAACATTTTTTGGAGTAAAACATTTATAAAAAGACTGGACCGATTCGCTAAAAGGTGTTCCATTTCAAAGGAGGTTCCTGTTCCCGTGATATCGCTGGGTTCTGCGAGCTGGCTGAAAAGGGTTCTTCTTGCGAGTTACTCATTACAGAAGTATTCAAATGTTTTCCATTGTTGTTCGATTATTCATTTGGAATATGTATTGATTAAATGTCGGGTTCATATTTATGTAGCATACGTTTTTTATGCGAATATTATTCACAGCGTCAGCCGTCTGGACTTCAGAGAGGCATATGACCTTGGCTACATGATGGTAGCAACGTTTTTGGGATGTCTCGCATTTCTCATCTTCCAATCGAAGTTTGAGGCAAGTGGAGAGGTGCCTCCCAATTTAAACAAATTGTTGGCATATGGAAAGGAAAAGAAAATATGTAAAGCATATTTAGAAGGTAATAAAATAAACACTGAGAAAACAATCGAGATTGACCTTTGAAATAATATTTATATTTTGAGATTGAACAATTTTTCTTAATCAAATAAAAACTAAATAAAGATGCATAAATGATGAAAATAATTTTAATTCTAATTTCAGGCGCTTTCTGGGCACAGAATTACCCGACAATTATCGACGTTGATGAACAATTTGCCTACATCATGCCCATCGCTGAGGGAACCGGCCTTGCGCACCAATGGGTCGTCGAATCTCCCGGTTTAAATGGCGATCCCAAAACAGTGTCGCTTTCCCGTAAAACAGGACCGTATGCAGGCTGGTACCTTAGACACAGCAACTTTTTTCTTCGAGTTGACGACAAAAACAACCCAACAGCTCCGGATAGTTTCATCGAAGATGCTACGTGGAGAATGATACCCAATAAATATTTCAAGTATTATTTCTCATTTCAGTCTGTGAATTATCCAAATAGGTACATTCGTCACGAAGGTTTTATACTAAAGCTACATCCAGACGATTGGTCGGAATTGTTCAGCAAGGACGCTAGTTTTCTTCAGGTGCCATCCACGGCTATTTACACCAAGTGAACGTAATGCTATCGTCATAACAACGGGTGAAGGGCTATAAGTGGATTGATTGGTAGTTGTGCCTTAGGAATCACAAAAATCGTACGAACTATTTGGACATTCACCAAATTGAAAGGACGAATGACTTAAAATAATCATTATTTACAGTCGTTGGGACTTTTTTAATTGACCCTCTTGGTATTATCTTACATAATGGACATAGCATAATGGACAACATTCGAAAACACAAAATATAAGAAGTCAAAAATGCAAAAAAATTAAATAGTGATCTTCTTTATTAACCATTGAGATCAATTGTCACCAAACATTTCTCAAAAATATCGATTTTTAAAATTTACATCGCAAAGAGAAAGAGCAAGGGGCAACATTAAAAAGCACTTGAAGTAATTAACAAGCCAAAAATGCATATTGATCTGCTTCCTTGAGATCGATTACAGTTTATTTTAAAGTGGCAGTAAGATACTGAATTTATTATTTCACATCAAAGTGAAGAAGCACAAAGGGCAACATCTGAAAACTCATAAAATATAATAATTTCTAAAAGGTTACTCTGGACTTTACATATAGCTGTTGTACTTCTGTGGATGAGCACATTCATGTGTTTGTTCATTATAAGAGACTCTATGAGCTATCATCATCTTCTTCAGATGACAACATTTCAGGCATATCTTTTGATTTCAAAATGTCAAACTTTGTTCATTTCGTTTTGCTTTTAAACCCGTTGTGTCTTCAGCCCTACTTCCAATTGGGCATGAACAACACCATCCAGTGATTGCATCAATACTATTACATACATTTGGATCTGGGTTGTACTCCACCCATGTATAGTGAGATTTGGAGGACACAAACCTATACCTGGGCTTTTACACAAATTAGGTCATATTTTTCTTTTTAAACAATGATGGTATATTTCCCATTTACTTGAAGATGGTCGTCTGTGTATCGTTTAGATTGGTTGTCTTGATATACACCAAAAGTGAGTTGACATCCATCGTATTCAGTCAAAATGCGTTCCCCCCAAAAATTGGTTTTCAGTCAGGGGTGCGATTGTGGCATAAACAAGTCAACAAATTAGATTTATTTTGAATTTTACAAAAGTTGATGCAACTTCCTTCAAAATTGAGCTAGAAGCTTCAAATACAAACATTTTAAAGCTCTTTTCTTCTATCTCATGGTACATATTTATCTCCAATTTGCTCCTACGTACATATCAAGGATATTAACGACATTGATTTTTCAAAAAATGTTAAATGACCCCAGGTGTGTCTATAGCCATTCGTTCTTTTGTTAAGAATGGACATACAATGTACGTAGAACACTGAGAATTACTTATCGGCAAAGTGTAACGTCCGTAGGATGTGAAAAAAGGGAAGGGGGAGATTGACGTATATCGTCTGTACATGGCTTAGGTGCATTTAATGATAAGCCTGATAATTGATGATACTTAATAAGATAATATGAGATATGATGTCATAGTGTTGCAATCGTATTATATAATCTGCTCATAATACACGTGAATATTTCAAATTGTTTAGAAGTATACAAAAATGACTTAATATAAATTATAATTTCAAAATACATTTTTAGAGGATTTCAAAAAAATGGAACACGTTGTAAATTGTTTAGTTTATTACTCCGACAATATTTCAGGAATATGAGTAACCGTATATAATTCAATTAAGAATATCGTCCACTATACCACTGGTCAGTATCGAGCGAAGGTAATGACCGTCACCTTCGCATCAAAGATGACGGACGTGAAGTATCGATTTTGATATTTTTAGTTTTCATCGAATTAAACTACTTTATAGTTGACGTTACGCTTTGATATTTGAACCATATCAGACTCATATGACATGGGAACTATGGAATATGATAATTATTTATAGAGATCTCTCTTAAGAGATTTGAACGCCACTTTTCCCTTATATTTATTTCTTACTGAAATTTATGTTTGACTTAAATCTTTAGAGCCCTTTTTGTCTCTGAATGATCTTATGATTGCTTACTTCTCCACAGTATAGTATTGCTATAAACGGGATCCTGCTAAACAGCTTAGTTACTAGGTGCAAATATGTGATTTGCACCTGGCACGTGGTCTATCATACAAGTATGCGTAATAACACGTATCTACAAGTACAAGTATTTATTTCACTTGGCCTAAATGATAAGCAACGACTACATAAGTAACAACTATCTGGAGCTACTACTTTCTTACCTGAGACAGTGGGTGACTTGACAGAATCATGAACAACCTCATTGTAATTGCTCTCTTTTGTATTGCGGCTTCAGGTAAATACAATTCTATTTTCAAAAATATTTGAATAAAAAAAATAGAAATAATTTTTTTTTTTTTTGGGGGGGGGGTTTATAGGGCAAATATATAGAGGATATCGTTTTTATCCATGGGTTGGTACCAAAATCTTTACGAGCGAGGCTTAAGTTTGTCTTTTACATTGGCTTCACCTTGGTGCTTGTACTGGCTTAACATGGAGCACCGATTAATAGAAGTTTTGTTAAATTGGTTTCCATGTGTTTTCTCGCCATCTATACTTTGTTTGATATCATTACAGCCTACGGACGCCCAAGTGAACTCCTAACATGTAGTGACAGACTGAAACTGCTCGAGACTTCCAAGCCTCTTCTAGGTCGACCTACCCCAAAATGTGACGAGAGTGGCGAGTATGCCCCAGTCCAGTGCCAGGGATCACAGTACGTGCATACTGAATATTCACTGGAATCTACCGGGGTCCAAAATACAATGAAAATGATATCAATTAAACCGCATTAATTCATCACTGTCGTTGTCCATTTCTCCTTCAATTATACTAACATGGTCAGTGGTGTAGCTAGGATCAAAAATTTGGCGAGGCAAATGTAAATAGGCGAGGCAAAAGGCTAAATGAGGTATATTACTCCATTTGGACTTCATTTCTACCGTTTTGATAGAAAATCGTCTGAATATTGAATATCTCGACCATGTAAAATGTTGCCGTCTCGTCTGACTCATGTCTGGCTACGCCGATGATGATGTGTTCCTTTTTATAATGTTCACCGTTTTTAAATTCGCATTATTTCTTTGAGTGAATGGAGATTCCGAAAAAATGCAGTGAGCATGTTGGTACCTCCATGTGATAATGGACACATACGATCATTTAACAATGCATGGGTTCAATTCAGTTGTTCATTATTCTATTCCACAATCCAGGTGCACATGCGTCGAGAGCAAGTGGGGAAACCAGATCAGTGAGGAGTATACAATGAACAGATGGGAGACACAGGGCATGAAATGCAGTAAGTGACCATAACTATTATACCAACCAGGGGGAAATGGAAATTTGGAAAGGAGAGAGGGGGCTTAGAATCTCATCTTCAAATATAAGGTATATTTTAGAAATGAGCCAAGAAGTTCCCAAAAGGCTGGATCTCTCCCCTCCCCCTCCTCCAGTGTTGTGAATGTCTTGCCAGTCTTACCCCCTATTTTAGGATATTGAATCGATCGTTTCAAAGTGTCAGTGTCAGATTTTGAAACTTTGGTTAATAACATCATCGACTTCTATACCTGTACGTGCATTATAGTGAGCCATTACCTGCATGTTTGTCAATGGTAAGTTCTCTTGGTGGAGCTCATCACAGTGGAGTCATTTTAAAGCTTTTGCTGGGTCGTCAAGATCGATATCACGATCTGCGGATCCATTTCTTCTACTTTGTCGAATTACTGTCTCGAAAAGATAATTCAAGGTCAGTTTCAGTGAAAGGTCAACATCACATTTGACACATCAATAAGTTAAATTGCCTAAACTTCCGGTTGGTACCCGTGTCGGTTCACTTGGAATTACCATAGATCCCTCCAGCCTTGTCACACTTCTATAGACGGGATTGCGAATGATATACTTTGGAAAATGCGTGCACTGCAATGATCAATGAATCGTATGATCTGTAAAATAAAATCCTTTGAAGCCCTCGATATTCTGTATTGGCACTCGACTTCGTCTCGTTCCAATACAGAATTTCTCGAGCAGAATATATCCTGCATTGCGCTTCAAATCATTTAATAACTTATAGTCTTTTCAAATAAATCTCGGCCCCTTTGATAAACCAAAGAAATCTTGGTATATTGGCTATTTTGCAGGGAACGAAGTTTGTAAACGGAAGATTTCTTAAATCCGCAGTTAATCTGTTACTGCCCTGAAAATGGACGAATAACATCATTACGAATGGGTATCATTACTGGATTGATCTATTGTTGCAAATCCTGTACTTGTTCTCTTTTCTTAGATTGTGCTCGAGACCAGTATGCCTATCGTGCCACTGGCAAATTGGGCCTATCATTCAGATGTACCCAGAACGGTAACTACCACCCAATCCAGTGCATAGGCTCTGTGTGTTACTGCGCTGATGAAAATGGACTTCAGGGAGAGAACAGCCCAACCGTAGGAATATGGGAAACTGAAAAACTCAAATGTTAATAGATGAAAGTTGAATAGTATCTAATTTTTGTAAATTTGAAAAATAAAGATTCAAAAAGATTAAAAGTTGTTAGTTTTTCGAGTGAACTTTGTTTGATTTAATCCTGGTATTGTCGAAGGAAATATCTAACGCTTGGACATAATTTGAGGACACCAGTCACTTACACAATCTTGCATAAAACAAACGTACCGTGACTCTACCACGAAAACCTCTCTCCTGTATGTACCCGAAACCCAGTTGAACAACACCCCAATTCAATAAATCAGTTTCAGTTGAATAAACCATACCTTTACTTGATACCATCTCAACACACCATAGTTGAACCATGGGAGTAAAACCACAAGTTATCTTCCTACCAATCCGCCCAATTTCATATAGCATTGGACCAACATTACAGGCGAAGTTAATTGAGGAACAAAATTAAGATCACTTTCATAAGCAGGCTTTAATACGCTGTACAATAAGGACATCCAGTTTTATGGAGGGAGTGTAAAGCAGTAAAGCTCCTCACTGAGTCCTTAGTGATACCATAAAAATCCACAGACACTGTGGAGAATATGATGACATGAATTATTCTGACTTATAGTGAACTGCAAATCTATTTATTAACTGTTTTTTGGGACCAAACTCTTATGATCGCACATCCAAAGTTTAAAGTACAAAGAAAGGCAAGCGATATGCAATTGTATATTTGATCGATTAATGTGAATTAAAAAGCGTTGGTGGTATGTATGTGTCATAAAAGAGATACATGTAAGTGTTATTTCAGTAACAAATATGATCTATTGAAATGTACATAGTTTATACTCTTGAACTAGGAACACTCATAGATAATCAAAAGAAAAGTACATCTCGAGTGCACAAAAGTATTAATAGATAAACTTTAGTTGGATTTTAGTGCTCGGTAAAAAGCTAGACATAAGTCCGTATAATTGAATATTGTCTCGAGTATTTATGGTCCGCTTTACAGTTAGCTACCCGAATAAACTAATGGAACTATATTCTCTTTTACAACGGGCCGGGACTGCTGACGATCTTATAGTGTGAATCGTGTAGATTCATTGCGGATTGAGCCTGTAAGAGGATTCTCTCAGTCACTGATCAGTTCATCATTGAACAGGTGCTCAATGGAAGATGATGCAATGTCATTGCCTAACGATGAGCAGGACATTTGCTTTGCCGACATCACATACAAGTTCATGATGGATTTCGACTTACAGATACCTGAAGAAAGTGAAATAGGAAATGTCCAATTTGATACATGGACTCCTGTATCCCCAACCTCATCACAAGTGGAACCAACAGAAAGTAGTAACGGTATAAACCAATTCAACAGTGTACTCCAAAGCAGACCTAGTCAAATTGATGCTCAAATTGAAGTCGACCTTGAAACAGCTAGGTTCGTATTTGCTACAACACTGGATAAACGACGGGCCCTTCAAAGAACCAAAGGTGGTACTGAGGACCTTAGGAAAGTAATATTCATCGAAAATATGTTAAATAAATCAAAAAATGAATATCTTAAAGTTTTGGACTTGATTGAAACTTCAACCGATGGAGATTATGACAGTACTGACGACACGGAAGATGAAGCAGAATTTGAATACAGCATTGATGACATTTATTCAGTATTAGCCGAATCAGTGGTGTACGTTGATCAGTCTGATGTTGAATCGATTGACACGAGGCTAGAGTGCATAAATCATACAGCATTGGAGATGCATGGTTCTGAAAGTGACGCTGGCGTATTTGAAGTCGACGATAATGACAATAATGACAGTAACGTAACCATTGAAGATATCAACCAGGAGAATGCCTCAACGAACGTGAACTTCCCCGAATTAAACAAATTGCTCAAAATACAAACAACGAAAGAAACGTTTGAACAAAAATGTTTGCTTATGTAGACAGGTTAGCATCGACTAAGACAATTTTCAGCTTGTAGTGTTGTAAGCAGACAACACAATAATTTATAAAACACATTGAAAATTGAATTTTGACCGTTTCAATTTTAATTGTTTTACCTAACCAAGCAGGAAATAGATAATTGATTCTAGAAACCATGTCAAGACAGCTATTTAAACAAAATAGATTGATAAAGACAAGTTGAAAGTATGTTTTCAAAAAAGTTGGACCAAATTAAGATATTTTTCTAAATTCTTTAAAACTACGTCTTAAAAAGCTAAATTGCTTCCAATATGTTACACTATGCCTATAGTCTTTGTTGCCCCTTCCAAGCCATGGATTTGCAAGAGTACAAAGACATAACAGAAGATTCTTAAGTTATAATACTATATTTTGCTGATTTTTATTTCGAACATTTACATAGAACATAGACTTTGTGTTACAATTACTGTAGACTTCTTATTGGCTAAAAAGTAGATTTAATATTGGTCAAGAGATGTAGCAGGATCCCTACCAACTTCATCATTTTGGTCATATGGTCATGTAGCCTATATAGTGACTATCCTTTCAATTTCGAAATGGTTTTCTCGTGTATGTTTAGAGAAGTTGATGTACTCAATCTAGAACAGTTTGAAGGAGCACTGTATCCGCCAAATGTACAACCACGTATATTGGGTTCGCTCTGCTTTAGGAAGTTACTTTTATAATACACTTAGAAATATGTGATCTTATGGAACTTTAATTAGGAATACGTCTCCACATTGATCTTGGTCATCCCACCATTTAGAGTTCTCAGCTCCGATGTCCGCCACTTGCTCGAATCTAGATCATGACCACCGTATCAGGGTTTTTGATTTCCAGATATTCCAACATCCAGTTGCATGCTGGACTACATACAGCCATACGGGACTCTGGAGATACAAATGTAATACTTTCCCATAAAACAAAATATAGCACAATGGCAACAGGTTAACAACGTCTATATCAGCTAGTTGTAGGCATGAGTATGATCAAAATAAATGAGGTACACGCGTCTTTAATGGAATTAGCAGGGGAGCATGATTCGATGCTCTAATATATGCAGAGAAGATGGTTTGTGCCGGTTCATAATAACGATGGATGTTTCAAAATGGTAAAACTCATTAACAGGGCGGAGTTCAAGCTGAGCCTTTAAGGTATGACATCATATGTCATTTTGGATGCGATCTTATTGAATAATTGAATATAATTACTTACCGTCAGCGTCTCTCTTGTGCCTTTTGTGTTTAGCTGGGCCAGGACAATATTGCACCACTGATTCTAGATCCACCAGTAGTTTACCGTTCACTATCAAAAGAAAATCTCAATTGTTAAAGTGTCTTGTTTCGCAAAAAGAAACACTGTGGTAATTTGTTATGAGTATGAGTATAAGGATAAGTATATGAGTATCAGAATAGACAGGCGGTATGAGTTTTAAAGACTGCGGAGACTATTGTACCCATTACACCCATAAAGTATGAATAAACCAGTTGAAGAAACCACAAGATGATCTGAGCAAATCTGATTAAAAATCATACCTGTTTGTTTTTCTTCTTTAGACATTGATTTGATGTCGCAACCAGATTTCAATGCATCTGCATATATGTAACTTCTCGGCACTAAATAAAATAACAAGACAATTAACAAAATGTCACTGGTAAGTAATTAAAAATGATTACAAAAATAGAGATCATACCAATGATAACATGACTACACATTACTAATAAAACATGAGTGAAAAGATATTGAATTTATGGTCATCAAATAATTAATGTCAGTTGGCAAGAGGGGAACACCCATCCTGCACCGATCGACCTATTTTGTTTGCTCGAAGTTAATATTGATTAGATGATGATATGATGTACTGTACATGCAAAACATGTTATTTGACTGAATAAGATATTTCTTTGTCTTAGCATTCCGTGTAATTTTGTGATCATCTCAATACCTTTTTCTTTTACTGCAAATGTCACATCTATCACCATGACAACCGCAAATAACGCACAGAATAGTTGTTTCCACATCTTCATCAGTTGCTATCTCAAAGCTACAAACAATAAAAACAATGTATTGCCCTGGAATCATTATAAAACCAGTTAAGTTTCTAAAATATATCATTTAAAGTTGATTAGACGCGAACGTTGAACGCCTTGAAACCCCATTCGGAAAAATTTCTTCATATGATCTGACTATTATTTTCTAAATACTGCTATCAGAAAAAGTTTAATAGGTCATGTTGAACTTTGAACCCCGCAGCTCATGTTTATCTTCACTGTTTTTTCGTGATTATTAATTAGTTCAAGCCTTTTCCTGAAGCTTGTGGTTAGTTCCTTTAGAACATCTGGTTTGTTTTCCTGTTAAATCGTTTAAAGTAGGTACGTTTGAAAGATGGAAAACAACTGGTGCCGTTTGTCTTGCTCGCTAATCACTAAATACAAACATATAAAGTGTATGCCTAAGAATACTACAGAATTTAGTTAGTTTTCATTTTCGGTATTAGTATAACAATTGAATTTTAACTTGGCTTATTCCTTTAATTGATTTGATTTTCAAAGTATACATATTTCTGTTATGGGCATGCTTATATAAAGAGTATTTATGGTTATCTTTCTGTGACTATTTCTATTAACAACTCCAGTTCATTGGTATTATTGGATTTGTCTTCTATGTTTAGCATGTTTGCCTTTTGAGCTTCTCATTCTAAATCCGACGAGATTTAAACGTCATTAAATGTCAATGTTATAGAGAAATATGATGGCCCGTGAAATAAACTGCACATACGCCAGCCTCCCTAAGATAACCTCAACTAACTTACAATATATTTAAGATACGAACGAATGGGAAATATAAATCATTCCTGGTTCCAGTCTGAGTTTTGTTTTTAACATTATTGATGTAGATGTGCATTACTTCATTTTCTTAATAATACAAATCATAATGAATGAGTCGATAATGATAGCACCTGTTTTAGTTTGAATTTTTCTAAATGCGCACGTTTTACGAATAGTACTTGTAACATACATATTTATTTTGACATATAATTGGAGACGTCAAAACTTCGTCTTAAATTGATGACTAACAAAGAAAATGTTTGGTGATTGTTGAAATTAAATAGAGACTCGATTTGAGTACAAATAAATCATCCATATAACATTAAAAAGATTTTAATTTTCTCATAATTTGCTTACCTTAAAGAACGCTGTAACAGTTACACTGAGAGTAGTTGCAAAAACGTTAATCTCGTTCCACTTGTTATGTACTGTGTAAACATGTAATCGTCCAGTAGTCCACTCCAGTGGTAAAACTGTTCTAGGTTGCTAGTGTAGAGTGTTCTAAAGAGCCCTAAAGCTGATGCAGAACTGCTTTTTGTAAACCAACTCAATATGTGGTTACCTAAAAATAGTTATAAATGATGAATGTTTGGTCGGAGAACAGTATTCATCAATTAATTGTGTATGTGTTTTGGAGAGCTACAGCCTAGAGGAAATTCCAGTAAAGAAATGAGCTTGCTTCGGCTCATTTCCTTACCCTCATTCTTTCTAACAACTCTTTATTGAAACTCATTTCATTTCCATAATTTCTTTATAATCACTCTAATATAATAACCTAATCATGGCATTAATCATTTCTTTATAATCACCCCCATCATTTCCTTACCACCATTTCAATAATTTCCTTACCATCACTCCAAACATTTCCTGCTAATCACTCCAATCATTTGTTTACCATCATACCAATACTGTCCTTACCTCCACTAATCGTTTCCTCATCAGCTCTTTTTCTTTAATTACTTACCCCGACTTCAATCTTTTACTTACCATCACTCCTATCATTTCCTGATAATTACTTTAATCACTTCATTACTATCATACTATCACCAATCATTTCATTTCCTTATAATAACTCTAATCATTTCATTACTATCATACTATAACTCTCATCATTCCATTACTATTATACTATGACTCTAATTACTTCATTACTATCACTCTCATCATTCCATTACTATCATATCCCTCTAATCATTTCATTACTATCATACTATCACAATCATCATTGCATCACTATCATATCACTCTAATCATTTCATTACTATCATACTAGCACTCTAATCATTTCATTACTATCATACTATCACTCTAATCATTTCATTACTATCATACTATCACTCTAATCATTGCATCACTATCATATCACTCTAATCATTTCATCACTATCATATCACTCTCATCATTCCATTACTATCATATCCCTCTTATCATTTCATTACTATCATACTATCACTCTCATCATTGCATCACTATCATATCACTCTAATCATTTCATTACTATCATACTATCACTCTAATCATTTCATTACTATCATACTATCACTCTAATCATTTCATTACTATCATACTATCACTCTCATCATTGCATCACTATCATATCACTCTAATCATTTCATTACTATCATACTATCACTCTAATCATTTCATTACTATCATACTATCACTCTAATCATTTCATTACTATCACTCTCATCATTCCATTACTATCATATCACTCTAATCATTTCATTACTATCATACTATCACTCTAATTATTCCAATATTATCATACTATTACTCTAATCATTCCATTACTGTCATATCACTCTAATCATTTCATTACTATAGGACTATCAATCTGATCATTTCATTACTATACAATGACTCTTAATAATTTCTTTATCATAACTCCAACCATTTACTATCATGATCACTTCTTTCTAACCAATCTAATCACTCGTTTACTGTGACTTTAAGGAATGACTTACCAATACCCCAAAAAGCATTGCTTTACCATATATCACTTCAATAATTTCTAAATATAATTACCTTGAAATTATTGCCCTGCCAGCATTACAGTACTGCACTCACTCCAATCATTTTCCTGCCAGCATTCAAAGCTATAGATCCGATCTTTCGGATTCATCAACAGTTTTCCTTACTTTTCCATGTTTCAAATAATATTTTCCTGGCAATCATCTGATTGGATTGTTGCAGTGTTTAATCTCACTTGTTCATCGCATGACGTGATGGTGTCATGTGCTAACCAGTGTATTTTTATAACAATAGGTTGTACAGAGTTATGAAATTTTAGTTCCAAAATACCACATTTATTCTTCAATTCAATTCAATTTCAATTTCAAAATAATTTTATTTCATTTATACAGTAATCACGAATACAATAAAACAGGCTACGACACCCGAAGGGAGGGGGGTAACATTTATTCTTTATAATAATATTGTTAGGTGGTCATAACTAGTCGTAAAACTAAGAAATGTTTTTTATAAATCCCCTAACCAATGGGAACCCATTAACAATGGTAACTTTGGCCTGAAATAAGTGGTAAATTATATCCCAAAACAATTACAAATATTGAAGAATGTTTGCCTAAATTGTGATAACAAAAGTTGAAGGTTTATCGTAAATCTAGAGATGTTGATGTTCAATGACGTTTGATTTACAAAGGAAAGGACTGTTCGATGTTTCATATACATGTAGTTAAGGAATAAGAAGTGCAAAATGTTGGACATCACCTCTTCAAAAGCATGTCAACGATTTCTTATTTCTGACTTTATTTCTGAAAAATGTCGAAATATCCGAATGAAAAAGACGTTGACATAAACTTTCTTACTGAGTCTTTTCAGGAGGATTTGCATTGATTCCCTCCAAAAGACTAAAGACGAATAAATATGTGTTACCTAAGAAAGAGAGTTGTCCACATTGTGTCCACATAGTCGACATGACATAGGCAGATATGGATCTAGGGTGATGGGGATTACAGGATATAAGATTACCCCCCCCCCCCAATGACAAAGGCAGATATGGATCTAGGGTGATAGGAATTACAGGTTATAAGATTACCCCCCCCCTTCCTCTTATTCATTACAACTCCATCCTTTGTTGTGTTTTTAAATGAAGGTAATGATAAATTCTCTATTTCCAATTTTAATAATAGCAAATCAATACATGGGAAAATGGGAAATTGTGTAAAAAATGTATTAGATTTAATTGATTCATCATTAACATTTTTGAATTGGAAAAGTTGGAAAAGTTACCAGACATAAGTGATTCCAAAAACAACAATTGTAAACCCAAAGGCAATAATAAATGTAGTAAGGATTGATTGTTTGTTTTATTGAGTCACTATGACAATTTTGCAGAAGGTCAGTTTAACATTTTTAAATGTCAAACAAATGGACTTTATGACTTAAAACTGATAAACTAATGCCATATCATTACAAATCGTACATTCATATAAAAATTAAATTGTTCAGATCAAATGAGATCTCAACCGACTTTTGCATCATGAGGTTATTGCAACTGATCTTTGTGTTCATTTTATAGGCATTGGGAATGGTTTGGGTGTATAAACGATATTGCCTGTCAAATTATGAAATGCCAACACATGAAGATGATCCATATATATGTACAACTTATTAATATTCCTAACTTTTTTGATTTGTGATTATTTCAAACTTAGTAGTCGTCGCGCGGACTTGAATTTTATCAAAAATAGAATTCAAGCGAAATTGTGTTCTCTGTTAAACATTGAAATATCGCATCACATTTTTTCAATGGAACCCCCTCTGATGCAGTTGTCCAGAAATATATCAACTATTGCATCTCTGATTGTCCAGGAACAACAAAACAGAAAATGTATTGACATAATGCATTAAACTAACATTGTCAATTAGTCAATTGACCAAAGCAAGATATATACCTGTTTGAATATCTGAAGTACTGCTTCGGAAATGGAATCGGGTGCAAACAAAGATGGCAACCACAATGGCGGAATAAGTGACATTCACGATCCTTTAAACAATTCTACTTGTCATTCATAATGTTAATAAAAATAGCAATATGGAAATTATCTCTATAAAGTAAATGAACATGTAAAAATAAATGTTGACAAAATTTTGCCTCATGAAATTGAAATCAAAATTCTTTTAACATCTGATATGAAATATGTTATTAATGGCAAATGTGTTGAGGGATTACTTGGCTAATTAGATTTTTTAAATATTATTAATTTTTAATCCGACAACATTAAATATTATAATAACTAGTATAGAACATGTATTACACATGGCATTTTCTTATCAAATACGATGATTTGGAAAAGACAAGATGACACCTTTAAATTCGTTAACTGACGTCCATTGCTGAAGGAACTTGTGTCAACCTTTAATGTAGGTAATGTTATGTTATGAATTGAACAATTAAAACATGTTTAACATGTTATGATGTAAAACTATTGACTGACTAATCCATTCCCGTTATGTGATCTATATGAAGTAACTAGCCATTGTCCATGTCTTGATGCGTGATTGTATTTTCTGTTCATGATGTTGCCCTTTGTGGTTCATCATCCAAAATCCTCGACCACAACTTGGAGGGATGGGATAATGTATACATATTTTTGATACATATGAACAAATGGAATAGAATAATTTGAAATCAAAGAATTTATTCTAAGCAGCCCCCTCACCCAAGGTATAAAATAAAATGTGAATCCTTTTACACCAAAGCTGAGAGACAACTAGAATAACATATTATTATATACATTAATAATATAATAATTAATAAAAAGTATAATGCACCGCTGCCTGGTGCATTTGTTTTAAAACTACTTTGATTAAAACATTAAAGTTTGTACCAAATCAGAAAATAAAAATCCAACCCAATTAAAAGTATATTAAATCATGAATTATTACAATATTCCGCTGGTAAAATACAAAAATGTTGCAAAATCAACCATTCAAGATGGCTTCCAAATCATAAAAGTCATTTTTATTGAGAATGTTATTGGCATATATGACCAATTAAGGTATCAAGATATTGCCTCAACAAAAACTGTGCTTATATAAGGGGCACTTCCTCAGGCTGTTTTCATCGCATCTTTTGGAATCTCTAGCAAGGTAAGAATTATCGAAATAAACCTCTCGAACGGATATCAAATATATTTCAATTAATACTGGTGTTTTTTTTATCATGCATCAAATGTTATCATATTATACCATATTTTTGTACTCAGGTACATCTAAATTTTAATGTTTTTTAATATTGCATTTTTCACTTTGCTACTAAAATGGAATAGAATAGCCAAAGGGAGATAGACTCTACGTGAACATGGACGTGTACAGTTTGAAATAATCATTAAATAATCATTAAACACGTGCTTAGAAATAGAATATCGTGTTACTGTAAAGGTGACTGGAAATGAAAGAAACTTTTCTCTCGTTTTTTATCTCGTGTGCTGAATCGTTCCATTAAAGCTGTTGTTTCCATATCCTTGCATGGCCGCGCAGCTGATATGCAAAGTTAAAGAAACGACGCCTAGGTGGAAAAAGCTACAACAATGCTAAAATCACCCAAGAGATACAAATCTTTTTATTTAAATCTTTAAATCTATATAAAGTTCCTTAATTTTCTCTACATGTTTATTTGAATGTAACTCTCTTTCATTATTGGTTATATAACGGAATGCAGTTAAATGAAATAGCGTGTTCTGATTAGCTAGAATTGGACACACCTTGCCTAGCTATGTGTGAATATTCTATCATTCTAGTTGCAATTTGAAAGCATATGGTCAGTTGGAAGTCATACTTTACAATACACTTTTTAATCATATGAACTGGATAAATTTTTATAACTATCAAAAGGATGCCTAAGAAATTGATAATTGACTCCATGATTAAGCTAAACAAGGGATCAACCATAGGTTCGTTAAGTTGCGTTAGTCCTTCATATGCCGATGACATGTGCATCTTGTCGAATTCTTTTGAAAACATGCAAGTGCTACTTGATCTACTTCA